TTTTACAACTTTTTTCGTATACTGTTTTTGCAATGTCATGATTCCAAATTCACATGATTAAATTTATTTTATAACTAAAAAAAATGCATGTATATATAGCTACGGATAAATTTTAATTGGAACACACACTAATCTCTCTACTCTTATTTTATGCATAAATATATACATTTTTTTATTAAAATTAAGTGACAACATAAAAACAATATTTATAATATTAAATCAACAGTAATCCAAACTTAATAATAATTAAATATATCTATTTATATATTAATAATTTTAGTTTATTATTTTTAAATTTTTTTATCATTTATTAATAATATATTATTTAATTATTAAAATCAATAATAAAATCATCAACTAAATACTATTTTAAACTCAAATATTTCTTATTTGTAAATTACTTAAATTTTTTTAACTAAGTACAAATTGAATTCTCAACCATTCACCAATCTTCCTTTTATATTATTCTCAATGATTAATTACACCTACTTGATTTCTAGATTTTGTTAAAGAACATGTCCCAACAAATTTGATTAATTTCTTGAATTTTTTTTTACTGTACAACAAAATTTGATCTATCATCACAAGCAACTAATTGCTTAAAAGTAACCAATAATTGTAACAAACCTTTTACAGCCACTCAATTTTCGCAAATCATAATTTGCTAAGATAATATAAAGTTGAATCCTAAAGTTTATGCCCTTTTCTTGTTTATTAAATTTTCTTTTACCCAAATTATAATTAAAGCATCAAACGAGGGACACCAAAGAAAATTGTTTTCAAATTTTGAAATAAAAGTGGGACAACAAAAGCTAAAAGCTTAACTATCATTGCACATCCAACTCACCCTGGGTTTTCTTTTTATCATTTTGTACCAAACGCCAACAAAAAGAACTCATCATTTCTAAAGGATCTAACCACGTCATAAGTGATTCTATATGCAAAACAAAACAAAATTAATTCTTCATCAATTATTCACCTCTTCCCTCTCCTTTCTACGTGCAAAATGATGAAGAAAAAAAATGTAATTATTTTTTCCATATGCGTAAATGGAAAAAATAAAATTGTTTTTAATTGCTACAAAGTTGAAACAAACACGTGTGAAATGAAGAGGAGCCACACCATTGGACAGGTTCATGTCACTTGCTAGGTTTTGGTTTTGGTCCCATAAAAAAATCTCTCAAACATCACAATATATATATATGTGTGTGTGTGTGTGAGAGAGGGGTGAGTTTCTTAAGGGATTGCATTGAAAGACCTCATAAATGGCGTGGACCAAAACATATTAGGGTTTGGAAATATGTTAGGTCTTGTCGGCAAAAACACCATTTTAAATGATAAGATCATGTCATGTTTTTTAGTTTTTCCACTCATATATATTCGCGTGTTTGATTTATAACAATATATGCAATTAAAGGAAGAAAATGATGTGCAGGTTAATTCTGAAATGGCTGTAACCATGACATGTGATTGATGTATTTGATTAAGATGATGTATTGAGTTTATTTTATGGTTTTTAGGACATGGATTTAAAGGTATGTTTTACTGTTTTAATATTAATATTTCTCAAATTTTTATTGTTTTTTTTTTCACACATTTTATTATCTTTAAAAGATACAGTAACAATGTTACAGAATTTTTTTTTAGTTTTTCAGCTTCATGTTCAACATTTTATCAGAAGGATTTCACTTTAACACCCGTGTATTTACGTAAGATTCCCCAAAAAATTAATTAGTATATATCCATAGTTTATATTTAATTTTTTGGTTGTTTTGGATTTGTTTATAGGGAGATTTATCTGTCAACTTTTATTCCTTTGATGCTCTTATTACGTGGGTTGAATAATTGTGGGTGATAAACAATGGCATGAATGTGAAGTAAGAACAAAGTAGGAGATCGCAATGAAACTACAAAACGTTGTTGGTTTTCATCTCAACTTCCCATTTCTTCCTTCTTAATTTGTCTCTTTCTCCCGTTTTTGTACTTTCCTCTACTTTTTTTTTAATAAATAATAAAAAATAAAAAATAATGGGAAGAAGCTACGTCCTAACGAGTGAAACTTTGGAAACATATGAAAAAACTATGTTACAATATTTATAGTTAAAATATTAAGAAAAAGTGTATCATATTCATGCACATGATTACATCACCTAAGTCAATTTTAGGTATTCGATTTATATTCAATTAATATATATATATATATATATATATATATATATATATATATATATATATACATACATTTATTTTACCGTTTATTTTGATCATTTAGTTTTTTAGTAATATAAGTTACGATTTTTTTTACTATTAAAATCATATTATAACATCTTTTGATATAATATAACTATTTTCTCTCTTAATTGAATTTTAAATATATTTTGAATAATAAATGAATAGATGGATTGAATTTTTTAACCGTGGAGTTTTTACTTAACATCTAAGATTTATAAAAAGAAAAATTTGGGTAAATTTTTATGTGTTTGTAAATTGTAAGATAAGAATATAAAAAATACTAACTAATAAGTTGAAATTAGTTTATACGTAAGCTAAAGATGATGCTTTAGATCAGTTAATATAGATTAATTATAAATTAATTTTAATTTATGAAAAAAACTTATTTTAATTTTTTTATTATAAATATTTAAAAAAAAGTTACTTACTGTATATACAATCTTTATTATGTATAATAGGTTTGAGTGTTCTAAAATTTGAAAATTATTATTATCACAAATCTGTTTTAATATAACTTGTGATCTATAAAAGCAATGATAATTAATACAAACGGGTTAAATAAAGTCATGGTTTTCGAAAAGCAGTACAGGAAAGTTTTTTTTTTGTTTTTTAAATCATTATTCAAATATATAATATTATTTTTTTCTTCGTAGAAAAAAAATCCATGTGATAGATAAGAAATAAAAAAAGTAAAAGAATAAGAAAAAATAAAGAGAAAAAGGTAAAAATAAATATTATTTGTTTTATTTATTATTAATAATTCTTTATTATTAATATTATTATTTGTAATCACTCAATATTATTATAATTGTTAACAAATATTCCATAAATAATTATAATTTCATAGTCGATTATTAAAAGGTTAAAAACCAATATAATTACTTATATCATAAACATAATCAATTGTACACAACTTTTATTTTTTATTTTCACAAATTTGGATGAAAAATATTACGGCTCTTCTGTGCTATTTACTCACAAATTCGGAGTACCAACATGATCCACAGATTTTTTTTTTTCTATCTTCAAGAATAGTAAATCTATTCTAATAATACGAAAATGAATAAATGAAGAAAGAGAGTTTAATATAAAATTACAACGGTTCCATTTTGTCAACATTTTTCTTGTTGTAGAAAATGACCTTATACTTTTGGTTATGGATAGATTTGGAATTAACAATTAACAGCAAAATTCGCTATTTAACTAAACTGTGAACAAAACTTACTATTTTTATATTTAATTATAATCAAAATAACTAATTTTATATTAATTAGTAATGTGAACTAAGTTTAATTTTTATGTGTTATTTAAAAGATTAAATTTCTTATTTTTTTTATATTTATCACAATTGTGTCTAAATTTAAATTTAAGATTTTTTTGTAATTAAATTAGTTAATAAAATTGTTTATATATTTCAATATATTAAACTTAATCATTTTTTCTCATATTATTTATAGTTGTTGAGTAATGTTTAATTTCACTAAGAAAATTTGCATTATTACGGTGGGACAATTATAACGACATGTTTCTCACTCCAACGTTTTTTGTTTTTGTTTTTTCTCTAAATTCACTCTCTACAGTTTTTATATATATATATATATATATATATATATATATATATATATATATATATTCATAATATATTTTATTTTGGTTTAGAAATTTTTTAATCACCATTACTCTATCAATCACAATCACAGGATTTTTTTTTCAAAGTAGAATATTATATAATATTTATCAATTAATTAACATAAGTTTGACAAATTTTTTTTACATAAGTAATACAAGTTTATGTTATTGATGGATAGTGTTTGATGTTTTATAATATAATTTTTAAAATACATTTTAAAATATCAATAATGAAAATAACACTATATCACTATATATTTTTTTATTAATATAATTTATTTGTTAAAAGCATTTATTACTAAATTTTTAATTTTTCATATATATTTTTTTAAATCAACGTAAAATGATTTTCTCGCAAAATTTTCTCAAGATTTTATAAAGTCTTTAAAAAGTTGGTTGAAAAAGTTTCACAAAATATGAAAAGATATAATAATATTAATTATTTATTAGAAATATTAATTCTAATATCATTTATAAATTAAAATATAATTATTTATTATAAATTTGAATATATAAGGCAAACAAAACATATATGTATCCTGTAAATTACACAACATGAATACTATAATTATTATAAAACTCAAACAAAAGTAAAATTATGACTAATTTGGTTAAATAATTCTGGAGGAACTCAAAGCCAAATTAGAACAATTAATCCCTAGTATTTAATTATTTGTCAATATGTGTTGTTCGGTTATTCACAAGTTAATACAATTATTTATCACGACATTGAAAATTAAGAGATATTAAACCAGTAAATCAGCCATGCATGTTCAAGTAATAAAGTGTCTCCTTTTAATTACATGCTTAGTAGCTAATTAATTACATGCTTTAGAAAATTAAGTGAAAGATATAAATTATAATAATATTTGATTACAGTGTGTGTGTCTATATATATATATATATATATATATATATATATATATATATATATATATATACATGTGTGTGTGCTCGCACAGTCACAGTCATCTCCACATCATAAGAAGGAGAGTTTGGTGGGTTTTGTCTACATACCTTCACTTCCACAAACCCCATCTTCCATCTTTCAATTTCTCTCATTTTCCCTTTGCAAGAACGAGGGTGAAAACAAACGCACCACTTTTAATTCTCTCCTTAATCTTTGTGCAATTGATTCAATGTCAAACTCAAACATCACAAGTTGTGATAGTTGGAGCTTCTCCACAGAGAACACGGGAGAAGATGCAGCAGCTGTTAAACAGCAATTAGAGATGCTTGGCCAACTCCATAGTCCAAATTCAAACACTTCAACTACAACAAATAATAGCAATGCCTCAAACACAACCTCACAACCACCTCCTAAGAAGAAAAGAAACCTACCAGGAAATCCAGGTCTACCTCATCACTTCTTAACCCTTTTCTTCTTAATTATGCACACTCACAGTAACATTAATCTCTGCTAATTACTGCTTTTCTCTCCTTTTCTTTTTCTTGAATTTAACTTCATGGATGATTTTCATGCCCTGCATATAAGTAATTATAAATTGAGCTTTCATATATATCATTTCCCAAGATTGGTTTAATTAAAAAATCTCTCATTAGGCAAGAGCCTCACCAAATTTCTGGTTGATAACGTGCTTAATTGGTTAATTACTTACAACGAGTAAAAGTGGAGAGTATTTGATAATACATGAGATGAATTTGATTCTCTTGAATCTTCTTTGAATCGTGGAAGACGAGGAAATCTAGGATGTGTGTTTAATTCAAAAAATGAATAGCAAAAATGGTTGAATTATTGGTGAGTGATGAAGATGGTGAAAGGAAGAAGCTCAATTATTGCCTGCAGGGTTTCACAATCATTGCTGTTCACTGTTGACTTTTCTTCACTGCTATAGCTTGATCTCCCACTTTCTCCTTTATTTTTGTTTCACACCTGTTTCAAGCAAAAGGTCCATATATAAAGGTCCATATATAATATATACCTTTAATTTATTTCATTTATTTATTTATCTGTGAATTTTCTCTCAACTTAATATATAACATTAATAAATTTTAATTCAAATTCAAAATTTAAAATAAAGGTTTTGGGTTTGCTTTCGGTGCATGTCAATTTAATAATTAATGTACAAGTACTACACGAGAAGGAAACATGTGCATGCACACGTATATAGCATAGTTCAATTACAATAACTCTGGGGTGACTCGCACGTGTGCAGACCCAAATGCCGAAGTGGTAGCTCTATCACCAAACACTCTTGTGGCAACAAACAGGTTCGTGTGTGAAATATGCAACAAAGGGTTTCAAAGGGATCAGAACCTTCAATTGCACCGTCGAGGACATAACCTACCGTGGAAGCTCAAACTCAGAACCACGACGGAAGTCAGAAAACGCGTTTACGTTTGCCCCGAACCCTCCTGTGTCCACCACAACCCAGCTCGCGCGCTGGGCGATCTCACCGGCATTAAAAAGCACTTTAGTCGAAAGCACGGCGAGAAGAAGTGGAAATGCGAAAAGTGCTCCAAGAAATACGCTGTTCATTCTGACTGGAAAGCTCATTCCAAAGTATGTGGAACCAAGGAATACAAATGTGATTGTGGCACCATCTTTTCCAGGTTCAATTTTTTTTTTTAATTATTTAAATAAGGAATCAATTTATTTTTTTCAAGTTAGCATATTTATTTTTAAAATTTAATGAATAAAATTAGACCAAAATAAAATATACATATATATATATATATTATTTGTTTTAGGCTTCATAAATATTAATTCACAATTTTTGCACAAGTTTCATGCATGGGTTAGGTGAGACACAGTCTACATAGTCGACTTTGACCACGCGTGATCAAGGGACGTTTAGATAAGGAGTTTCATAATATTAATAACTTAAAATAGTATGCAATTTTAATTATTTTATTTTAGATTAAATAAATTAAATTTCCTTGTTTGTCAATTTTTCATTTCAAAAAATTAATCTGATTTTCATTTGCTGTTCACAGTTAAGAAATTGTTTGCTATATTATATACAAGTTCATTCAAATTTGTTTCCTTTTTTTACAATTATTGTTGGTCATCGTTTTAATTCTTTTATTTCCATCTTATATATTATCTTCATTTATTTAGGCACATTATATCCTTTGTGGCTTCAGGTTATAATTTCTATTCATTTAATAGATATTATTAGTGCAGAAAAATAACTCACAGCATGCTTGTGCAGAAGAGACAGCTTCATCACACACAGAGCTTTCTGCGATGTACTGAGTGATGAGAACAACAAATTCAACGAATTAGGACCATTGCCAAATATCATGCATGGTTCAAACCTGCAACCACCAATAATCCCAAACCTAGTTGCATCACTACCAGTCAATACCAATAATCACAAGCTACCATTATCACTCCCTCACGACCTCATTGCAACAATTCCAGCGAAACCCTTTAACAGCAACATGGCAGCATTTACAAGAAGCCTTCCATCCACCACTTCTCCCTCTCAACTGTGCTCAAACTCACCAAATATCAACATGTTCGAGGAAAATGCTCAAACTCACTTGTCCGCCACAGCATTGCTCCAAAAAGCTGCACAAATGGGCGCAACATTGAATACTAACAACAGCAGCATGATGAGTGAAAAGGGTTTTGCTACAAGCATGGCACCACCATCGTATGGGGTCATGAACCCCAACATGCACAATGGTCAACAAGACTTGTCTCAGTATGACTTCAATGCAAATGGGACGATGATAGATGGTGGTGGCAATGCCATGGGAGGAGAAATGAGTGGTTTGGATATGTTTAATGCTATATTGGATCAAAGTAAGGCCTTGTCGAAGATCATAGAGCAGAACAATCGAAGTAGTTATAGCGGTGTTTTGCATGCAATGAATGGTACGTCGAGTGTTTCTTCCATTGATGTTGGTGGAACCAAAGGGGGTGAGAGTGTCATGACTTTGGACTTGTTGGGGATTGGAGGAGGAGGAGGAGGTGGTGATGGAAATTTCTTTGGTGGTGACCAACAATCAGAACTAAAGATGGAATATGGAGAAATTGGTCAAATAAGAATGCAGGGATTGAACCATTTTCAGCAACAACCAGCTGCATATGAAAATTAAGATTTCATGACCTTGCTGGGGAGGGTTTCAAGTAATAATTTGCATGTTTCTGATCTAGGTGGGAATTTCAGCTTTGGTTCTATGAACTAATTCCATGATAGGTTTTTCCTATGACAAATCAGTGTGTTGACTTTTGGTAGCTTAAATTAGTGTTCACTGTTCAGTATCTTTAAATGGAATGATGGCCCATATATAGTTACTTCAATGTGTACACTGCAACTTTCAATTTCAGTCTCATTCCCTTTTTAGATATATATCTTACCAATGATAATGGAATATGCAGAAACTTAGTGGCAACATTTGTGTTTAAGTTTCATTTATTTGGTATGATCAGACGAAACGGTGGTCTAGATTTAGTTTAATTAGATATAACATCACGTTTCAAACTGAATAAAATTAAGTTAAAGTTGCCGTGTTATCAAAATAGTGGTAGATTCGAAAATGTTGTAGAACCAGTTTATCGTGAATGGTCAAATTGATGTGAATGAATTTCTCACTCTATTGGAGACTTTTGCGTGAACCAAAGTTTAGGGTTTTAATTTAAAATGTTGCAAGGCCGAGAATCCCACCATATAATACTTTTGAATTTTTGAATTTTTTTGGAGACGTGCTCCGGGTTTTGTAACGTGGTTTGTAGGTGTGTTCTACGTTCTTCATCGAAATGCTCAAAGTTAGTAATATTATATATAAATATGATATATTCACTATTAATTAATTCTTTTATTTTAGAGTCATTGCTTTATTTATACTTTCGTATTTAGGTTTTATTGGTGGGTTTCATCTCCTAACCCTTGTTTAGATGCTTCTAACACCACTCTAACAAAGAGGTATAAAGATATAGAATAATTATTTATACTTTTAGTCACAAATTAGGGATTGTAATTTTTTGTGAATTTTTTATATTGGTTTTCGTGGCTCGTTTCATTAGTTTGACAAATGAGTTATTAATTTAATTGAACCAGTTCATAATAACTACAAAATTAAAAATACTAACTTAAATTTATCATAAAATAATTTAAATATGTCAAATTATATTAATATTGAAAATTGAAAAATAAGTCAATTTTTTTTTAAATAGCTAAAACTATAATCATTATAAATATAAGGGGTATTATCTAATTATTATCAGCTATATATGATAAGTTTTGTTAATTTTAACAGTTATAATCATATCACTAATTTAGATGATGAATGCCGAATTATTGTATATTAATGGAACATAATAATATTAATCGCTATTTGATCACATTATTAACAACATAATTTTATAAATTATTGATTTTTTTTGTCTAGGTTTCGTTTTTATTTTAGATAGCTTACTTATATTTTTTTATAATTGTAAGATTACATTTTTAAGCATACATTAAATATTTAAATAAATAAATTAGTAATCATAAATAATTAAAAAAAAAACACTATAATACATTTATAATAATACAAACATGATATTGAAAAATTAACTACCAACATTTACCATCACCAACTACAGAAATAACGAAATTTTAAATTGAATTAATCTTTAAAAATTGCATTTTAAAATTTAAATCATAATTCCCATTTTGAAAGATAGATTTATTTAAGTTTTAACATTTATCGACAACATTGATTTTATTTTTGGATAAAAAATGATCAAAATCCTTATATATAAATGAAGAAAAATTCGATAAATAAATTATTTACAGCAATTTAGATTATGTTCTTCTTTACTTTTTACATGAACAACAATTATATATAGTCATATATATTTTTTACATATTATAGTTTGAAGATACTACTAATTGATAAGAAAATAAAAGTATAGTAGTGTGACTTCGAATGTTGTTAATTAAAATGTACTTAATTTATTATATATATTAATTTGATATTATTTTATATTTTTTTAACAAAATTTTAATTGTTTCCATTTATCATTCCATTATCGTACATGTAGGAATCTATTATTATCTAGTAGCATATATTCAAATAAATGTATTAGAAAGTGTATCAGGAATTGTTGATTTCATCCATTTGTATGTTTTTAAATAAAATGAAATAGAAATAATATTCTAATAAATATAATAATATTCAACAAATTAATTGTTAGATTTTAGGATAAATATGTAAATATATAGTTTAAATTTGTTTTATATTATTGAATTTAAGTTATAGTATTTTATAGTTTGCATTCAATATATTGTTACTATTATACTGTCTTAATTTGTTGATAAAATTTAAAATAAAAATAAAAATATCATACATTAAGTATTTGACATGTTTTTATTCTATTGTAGTGGTTTAAATTTACAGTCAGTGTGTTGGGAAGGGGTTTAAATAGTAATAGAGAGAGGTGCCGATAGTAGAAAAATATATATTAAAAATAAAGTAATATCTTCCTTTTCCAAAAGTACTATTATACTACATTCTTCTTTAGTTTATAAAAGTAAACGTGTTTTATCTGAAAAATAAATACATATTACGTGTATTTTTTGATATAAAAAAAACTTTTAAACACTTTTTCGAATTGTTTATGTTTAATTCTTTTAACATACTTTGAAGTATCTTGTGTTCAAGTTCTTCATAGGGATTTTTTTAGCAAATTAATAATTGCACCTTTTCATTTACTAAAATTAATAACCAAGCTATTGCCACCAATATTTTTTTTACGACTCCAAGATTTTAAATCTTAATATTATTAATGAACCCTTTTTATTATGAGAAAAATAATGTTAGATTGTCATTTATAATATATTAACAAGATTATTAACATTTTAGTAGTTATCTAAAAATTTTAAATTTTAAATCTTTTTAACCTGAGTCTATTAACTTCTACACTTTCACTAGCCAACAATTAAATTTATTTAATTTTAAAATTACCACGAGAAAAACTTACAACTATAAAAATTTAATAATAATAATTTAAGGATCTCAAATTTCATTTAAAATTATATTCCCTACATCGACCGACACAGTAATCATAAATGTAACTATTCCGTTGACCACAAATCCAAAACCACCAGGCATGCACAAAATTATAGTTAGCACTAAATTATGTCCCTGTCAGAAAAAAATGTAAATATATAGCCAGTCCTTTAATTTTATAAAATTAAATTTTAATACTTTAAAAATATTTGGAGAAATTAGTTCTTCAAAAGATACAATATTTTATGTTAGCTTTTATAATGATCTTTGTCCTTTTCAAATCACTATATTAAATATTAATATTCATGACAAATAAACCACTTATCACTGTCACTTGTAATTCAAAAATAACTGCACATTATTTCTACTATTAATTTTTTTTTTGAAAAAAAAATGTACTTCTTGATTTCTTACGTAAAAATAGTGTAATTATTTAATAAGATAATTTCTGGACTCTTTCATTCTCTCAACTAATTCCATTATTTAAAATAAACAAATTTCTACCTATTTTCATTAACATTATGAATTAAAAAAAAATAAAAAATTGGAACGGGTATATTTAATTATATTTGACAATCATTGATGAATCCTTTTTACCATCTAAACAATAATGATTAGGAAGAAAGTGACAACCATCAATTTTATTAGGACTAATTAAAAAAGAACAAAAATAATTATAATTTTTTTTTGTTTTTTTCATTATTTTAATGTCTAAACAAAAAAATCGTGTAAAAAGATTAAAAACACAGTATTTAATAAAATCAAAAAAAGTATTAACCCCCTTTAAAGAAAGAGTGAAAGCAAATTAACAAAAACGGAAGGGGTATATGGCTATTTGCGAAACTTGCAGAATCAGAGTGGATCTGCCAAGAAGAGTGCATCCTCAGAAAGAAAAAGTTGATATATAAGCCACTACCACCTTCCTATTGCATCTGCATCCTCAATTTTAAGCCATTTATGCAATTGTGTCGTTGAATTGCGTGGTTGAATCTATGTGATAGAAGTTAATTTTGTTCCAAGTGAAGCGAATTGGTTGATCTGAATCAGTGATGTCGATGGCGATGGCGAGAGCAAGTTCTGGTCTGCAATACCCAGAGCGGTTCTACGCTGCGGCCTCTTACGCGGGGTTTGATGGATCCACATCTCCAACCAAAACCCTCACTTCCAAATTCGCTAAGTCCACCTCTCTTCTTCTCTACAGCTTATACCAACAGGTACCACCTCAACAGCCTTCACCATCTCCATTGCATTATGCCTCCTGCTGACTCTTTCAATATGGATTTCGCTTTTGTTTTTTGGCATTGGGTTCATCGTCTTCTTGTCGGTGATGTCATTCTATATTTGATTCCGTGTTTGTCACTAGATCTGGTTTTATTGGTCAATGGGATTGAAATGGAAACGATTTGTATGACACAATGGTTACCTCGTTAATAGTTTATGGAAATGTTATTTGGGGTGGGGCAAGTGATTTGGTTATGACTTGTGAGTAGTGTGAATTAGATTTAATGTTAAATGTTTTAGTCTTTTAGATGATACGTTTTGACAATGATTTTGTTGTTTGAGGGACTGGCCGTGGAAACATTTGCTGTTGCGTTGATCTATGTGGTTTTTCTGGAATTTTGCTTTTTTAGTTGATGTAACTCAATGGAATCGTTGGCTACAAATAATAGAGCTGGGTACGGCTTGGTTGTTGTTACTGGGTTTCCGTTGGATAAACCTATGTTAAGATAAAATGCGTGATATTATGTTGCTTGTATTTGGCACACTAGAGGTATATGCCCTGATTGGCTAAAAGCTAGAGAAGTCTTAGTTTCAACGTGGAGGAATGGAGTAATGATTTACTAGTGACTACTGCGTCTTCAACCAATGGTTTAATTAGTTTTTTTGAAATGTGCTGATATTGCTGACACGAACATAGCAATAATCTTATCAATTTATTGGAAAATTTGCTATTTCAGGCTAGTGTAGGACCGTGTAACGTCCCAGAACCCAGTACATGGAAAATTGTGGAGCATAGCAAATGGGCCAGGTTTGTTTGCTTCGAACACGCTTGCTGCTTTCCACTTTCTGTATGCTGTTGCTGTACATTTCCTTGACATCATTCTTCCATATGTATCATTACGGTTTTACCATGCTTGTCTTTGCATTTTTTGTACAGATATTTTGTCATGAATACTGCACTGTCTTTAATCAATGTTATTTTGTAGTAGTATTATGCTTGCATTATGCACTATTGCATTCCTAATCTCATTTATTCGAGAATATTATTAAAAGTAGTAATTGTTGATGCAGTTGGAATCAGCTTGGATCCATGTCTTCTGCCGAAGCCATGCGCCTTTTTGTGAAAATATTGGAGGTCATGCAAATGATTTTCATAATCATTCTTCCTTCGTATATTGAAGACTGTTAGCTGATTAACCTTTTTTTTTGTAATTTTGTTTGTGTAGGAAGAAGATCCTGGTTGGTATTCAAGAGCATCTAACTCTGTTGTAGAACCTGTCATAGACGTGCAAATGAATGTGAGTGTTATTAAGGCTATAAGCTCTATATAATATGGAATCCTGTTCGTGCTATGGTGTTTTTCTCAAATGGTATTCATAAGTTTTGAGTAGTAGTTATGCTGTTGGCTTGCAGTAAACTTTAATTGTTATATGCTTATATTCATCTATTATAACTTTATAGAGTAAGCACTAAGTGATCGGCATGTGGTCTGTATTCAAGTGGTCAAATAATTTTATAAAAAGAAGTTCTTTGGCAAATAAAATTTGGGGTATTTTATAATTGCAATGATGTGTACCACCTTTCACCCTGGTAGGATTCAAAATAATAGACAATGGAAATAAGGCGAGGTTTTGTTAATAAAGAAAATAAAAGAAGACCAATCTCAGCTCATATGTTTCCAAGAGCTCAACTCTTCACGGAGGAGAAGTCACTCTCTACAATGGCTCTAGCCCAAATCTAAAACCAACTACAATGATGCCCCCTTCCCATGACTACCCACCAACTATAACTAACTCGTACCTCTCACACACCATGGATTCAACCCACATAACCAACTCTGCTCTCCCAAAGTCTCTCCTTCCATCTTATTCTTCTTCTCACTCAACACATAAAACTATATATAGGCTCTTTGCATCAACTTTGCCTCCTGCTTGTTATAAACTTTTGATATATTGGGTTCTTAAGACAATTGGTCAATGGGGCTAGTATTCAGGTTCCTATCACACAACAGACATTCACATAATTCATTGGAGTCAGTGCTCAAGTCATATACAGGATTCCATGATTTTGCATTTAGGATTTGATAGTTAGGTTTAGAACTTAGATTAATGTAAGAGGCATGTCAACTTAGGTTGTGTCAAGCTGTCAATAGCATTGCAATGAGGGGACCTTCCTCTATATTCTTATCTACTCTTGTTTCCACTGGCAAAGTAGTGATTTTTTTCTTTTTCCTGCTTTCCAATTCCATCTTGCTGGTTTGACAGCATAATTCCAAAGTTGAACCAGTAATTGAGAATGGAAACTCTTATCCAGAGACAAAGACTATTTCCAATCAAAATGGAAGTGAAGTTGGAACACAGGATAAAGATATTGTTGTGGAAGGCTTTGGTTCAGTTGGAGTTTACGATCAATGGACTGCACCTCCAGTATCTGGACAACGTCCCAAAGCCCGATATGAGGTACCAGCTCCTGTGAAATATGGAAATTATAAATTTCCATACTGAACTAGCTTTTTTATTTTCTGCATTATGAGTTCAATCTCTAATCTCTATTGTTTTTCCCTCCCTAAGTCTAGTTTGTTTATATGTTCAGCATGGAGCTGCAATTGTACAAGACAAATTGTACATATATGGTGGAAATCATAATGGTCGTTACCTTAATGATCTTCATGTAAGCATACCTTCAATATACATGTTCTATGAAGCCATACATTTTGACTAAGTTACAATTTATCTTGTGAGGTTGATTGAAAGCACCAATTTTGGCTAATACGATATATATCTTCTGTTTTGACAGAAAGGCTTGTTGTTATCTGTTTCTCAGGTTGATTAAATTATGTTTTGTTTACTTTGATATATACGGAAATAAATACAGGTTTTGAATTTGAGAAGTTGGACCTGGTCAAAGATTGAGGCTATGGCTGGAGATGAGTCCCCAACAACTTCAATCCCTTGTGCTGGCCATTCTTTGGTTTGTATTGAACATAAAACTGCATAATCTATGCTGTGTTCAATCTGCTTGTAGTCTGCTGCTAGTACTAATTCTGGAATTTTGTGGGGTTTGGTGATGGAACATTTTTCAATTACAGATTCCATGGGGAAATAAGCTTCTGTCTGTTGCAGGGCATGCAAAAGATCCTTCTGAAAGTATCCAAGGTATAACAATAATAATGTTATAACATGTTACCTTGAATTTGGATTGGATCTAAACTCAACCCCAGAATCTAGCATATAAGATGAGGATTTACAAGCCTTTATATAAACTCTATTTTAGCCATATCTATTGTCGATATGAGATCTCAGCATGTTATCATTCAGAGCATGAGAAAGGTCAGAAGTTTCATTAAGATATATATATTTCTTTTGGATAGGCCAAGAAACTTCATTTACTCAAATTTTGGTAACAGTGATAAACATGAATAATACATGCTTACTCAAATTGTGTCCTCTATTCAGTAAACTAAAGCATGACACTGTCACTTCATTTACTTTTATGGAAAAAACCAATCAAAATTGCTGGTAGTGATAAACTTTTTGTGCATGTTTAAGTTAAATATTTAGGCTACATATATTGCTTAGTAATTATTTTTTTTACCTTAAAATATTTACCGAGATGAACATAAAACTTCATTAACACTTTTCTTAGTTCATTGATTTGATTCATGACTGTTAATTGTGTCCCCCTTCCCCCCTTCAGTACCTACTTGTGACTCTTGTTCAACTCCTATTTTGTTGTTTTATAAAACTAAAGTATCGGTATTACTATCATGTATTGTGCCAGTGAAAGTGCTTGATCTTCAAACCGCTACATGGTCAACTCTAAAGACTTTTGGGAAAGCTCCGGTATGTATCTGTTGTTATTTTATGTTTATTAATCCAAAAATCCTAGAAATTATATATTATCACAGTAGAAGTGTGTGACATGTCACATTTGTACTATTTAACAACAGATGCATAGGTTTTATGATTTTTAAACACAGTACAGTAGTTCCCCCTCTCTTTTTCTTTTCTTATTCTTTTATTTTTTGAAATAAAAGTACATTAAACTTTAGTTCCCTTCAATCAATCATATATACTTTCTAGGTATCACGTGGAGGTCAATCAGTGACCCTTGTAGGGGGAACCTTGGTAATTTTTGGTGGGCAAGATGCAAAGAGGACTCTTTTGAATGATCTGCATATTCTTGACTTGGAAACCATGACATGGGATGAAATTGATGCTGTGTAAGTAGTTTTTCTGAAGTACTCCTTTGTATCTAATTTTACCTTTCTATGGGGATGAGACGGTTATATGGTTGGGGGGGAATGTCACTGAAAACGATATAACTTGTCATAAAAATTTGTTCAGTGGTCATCTTCTGTTTATGCCATGATTGAGGTATGATATATTGTAAAATATGTTACTCATTCTTGTTAGTTATGAATGTGTTGTTTTTATTTTCCCATGCCAATTTAAAGTGAAAAGAAAGATGAACATATAACATCTATGTTTGGTGCTAACTAAATCTTAACTGGCAGTGGGGTGCCGCCTTCTCCAAGGTCCGATCATACTGCTGCTGTTCATGTGGACCGATACTTACTTATCTTCGGTGGGGGTTCACATGCAACATGCTACAATGATTTACATGTTCTTGATTTGCAAACTGTAAGGCCATTGCTTGTTTTGTTAGATGGGGGACTGGGAAATCATGTCCATGTAATAATTTGTGTGAACTCCACAGATGGAATGGTCTCACCCTACACAGCTGGGTGAAATACCAACACCACGTGCTGGACATGCTGGTGTGACAGTGGGGGAGAACTGGTTCATTGTTGGTGGTGGTGACAACAAGAGTGGTATGCCTTTTTGCCACGTAGAATTGTACTTTCTGCATGATGGAATAAATTTTCACTCTACATGATATTGCTTGATATCTGGAACAAATATTTATTTGAACTCTACGAGAGTACAAGTTTATGATATGGGTCTAAGTAAACTAAAGGAATTATATTTTGACACTGTTAAGAAGTACATTGGTTTATTCTACTTTCAATTATTTATAAAATGTTTAATTACTCATTGGTTTCTTTACCTGCACAATCTGAACAGATTAGTCTCCATACCTAGAAATTACTTGTGTTTAGACTTTATGCATAAACTTTTTAACCCATTTTTGTCTTAATACACACATCTTTTAATTTGTTTTAGTCTCTAAAATTTTGGGTGGCATGGACTAAAACAAATTAAAATATGTACGGATTAAATAAGAGGAGTAGTTTTTAGGTTTACAAACTAAAATGCAAAGGTTGTGCAAGTATAGAAACCAAATGAATAATTAAACCTATATAAAAATTATATAATATATTATTAATTTTCAAAAAATAAGAAATTCTTGCATGGACACATCCATAAGAAATTCTTGCTTGCACACCCATAAATGTTTGTAAAGAGGTATGTCCTCCCATATCCAATCTTCTAAAATGGGATAAAAGCAAGCTCACCTTTAATGGTTCAGTTTATAGCTAATTTCTAGTTGATATTTGACATTATTTTGACAGCTGGTGGTACTTGGGTTCAAGAAAACACTGTTTTCTAAAAAAAGAATTATTGCACTTGCACCATTAACGTGAAAGGTTAAAAGTTCATAAAGGTTGTTAGCCCCTAGAATTATTATTACCCACTTTTTTATTTGTCTTTTAAAAATAGACCTTTTAATCTCTAGCTCCTGTTACCCAACTGCTTTGTTGTCTAAAAAATGGCTACCTCAACATGCCACATCGCTTTATATTAGTTTCTATTTTAGTCTTGCTAAATATACTCTGTTTCTAACATGTTTGGGGGTGTTCACTGATAATGTTAATATTGCTCGAGTGTGAAATTGTTAAAATAATATTAAAGGCATGGCTTTCTGTGTAAATACATTTTTAGTAAGGACAATTACAACAATTACATCAAAATGCTTTTGGGTATTAAAGAAGTTGCTCCTTCAGAATGCTTTCTGCGAGATAATTTGCTATAGTTTTTCCGCCCTATTCTTTGGTTGTTCTGGATCTTTATAACGTACTTTGAAGATAGGGTAACAAATGAATTTGAGGCACTGAAAGAACAGTACATGAGTGTAAAAGCTTTGATTAATCGTGCAATGGTGCAATGACAGAATTGCTTATTTATAGGAAATTTAATGTGCCGTTTCATTGAGAAAGAAAGTTAATGAAACAAAGTTAATAGAGGCAGAGGCGAGGCAGATTGAAAATAAAGGGGGGGCAGTACATTTTTTTTAAAGCAAAAAAAACTTAAAAAATTTATGTCTATATAATTTTAGAAGTAAAATAAAAATTTTCAGGGTGACCATGGCATCCTCATGCAACACCTTGGCTCCGCCACTTTATTCAAGAAAGCTTTGCCATTTTATTGGGTTCACTGTAAACAGTAATAACTTCTAGGCTGTTGGTTATTATATATCTATATGGTTTAGTTGGTTACCTGGGTTGTAAATTTGCTGATTATTTTGGACTTGAGGACATTTGTGGTTCAGTCTTGTTTCAGTAGATATACCTTTTACTACTTATATATTCCATGTTATTTTGCAGGGGTCTCCGAAACAGTTGTACTGAATATGTCAACACTGGCTTGGTCAGTGGTAACTTCTGTTCAAGGACGAGTTCCTGTTGCTAGTGAGGTACTTTATCTATGAATTTTAACAATATTGCGTGTAATACAAAATCTAACAAGAGTACTGATCCTTGTTAACCGTATGCTATACTGTAATAAGGTTATGTTAGTGCCATCAGATTAAGATAATTAAAATGTTTCCAATTGCAGGGATTGAGTTTGGTTGTAAGCTCCTATAATGGCGAAGATGTACTTATTTCTTTTGGAGGGTACAATGGACGTTACAACAATGAAGTAAATATTATTTCAAAATTTTAGTCTGTTTCTGCTCTCCTTTGCCTTTAATTTTATATTTTTTTCCTCATCTGGTTTGGTTTCTGCATTTAGGTCTATGTTCTTAAACCAAGCCACAAATCCACCCTGCAATCCAAAATAATTGAAAATATAGTACCTGACAGTGTTTCAGCTATCCCAAATGCCACAAACGCTACCCGAGATGTGGAGTCTGAATTTGAAGCAGGTCAAGGGAAAAATTGGGAAGTTCTCTTGGACAATGCTGATGCAGCAGTATGTATTACTGCAAAGGATTTACATTATTTCTTTCTGGTTTTATGAATTTTCTTGTTCCTGCATTCATTTTTCTTTGAAATTTTAACTGTGGTGCTTTATTTTACAAAAAGTATTATCTTGTGAATTTGATTTAACAAGATATCTATCTATAAACTGGTTGCATGTTTTAGGCTCACAATCCAAGATCTTAAAACTCGTCATATTCTTCTGTTTTGATATCTTCTATTACCTTGCACAGAATCTAGACTCTATTAAAGGTTTTCTTCACAAAAATCTGATTGTTTAATTGGCCAAATTCAATTGGACGTACCTTTCAATTGGCTTTTCAGGGCACCAAAATTTCTCCCTTTACTGACTTCTATCATCATCCTAAAGCTTTGAATCAATCACTTCCCTGTCTTGCCTTAAATAAACTGTTGAGTATTTATTAGATTAGTTGTATCTTGTTGAGCATTTATGAGATTAATTGTATCTAACTATAGACCTAGTTCCTAGAATGCATCTGTTTATCTTCTCTAGGTTTAATCATTTCTCTCTATTAATTGTATCTCAAAATCTGTATCTTTATCTCCTATAAATAAGAGAACACAAGAGAATGATTTCAAGCTTTCAAAAACAGTTCTTTATTTTCCTATTTTCTATTTCAAGTTGGTATCAGAGCGGGTTGATCCTGCTCTGCCTGTCTCTTCTTTGTTCTCCGGCGTTAATTGCTGCTCGCCACTGTCCGGCGCCGTCAATCTCCGACGCCGTTTCTCTCTCTGGCACTTGGGTTAGGATCGCCTCGAGGAGCGCGACCCAACCCCAGTGGTCGCTTCCTCCGTCTTTGCCTCACGCGCCGCCACGCGCTGCCTTCGTCTGCGACTTCCTCTGCGCGTGAGCTTCACGCACCGCCCCTCCTGGTGGCTGTTTTGCTCCATACCACCACCATCTGGCTCGCCTCGTCGCCTTGGAGTCAGATCTGCCCTTTGTTTCGTGTTCACTGTCACAGAACGTTGGTGGTTCTGCGTTCTTCTTTCTGCCACTCTCGGTCTTCTCTCTGCCTAACTATTTCGTGTTCATGTTCACTGTCTCTGCCTCTCTCTGCTTCCATATACAGCACAGAGCTTTGCAATAGATTACAGGTCCTCTCTTGTTTCATGAAAAATGTTAGGACTTGCGTCTGTATCTTTTTCTGGGACTCCTACTATAACCACAGAAAAATTAAATGGGAAAAATTAATTGTCTTGGGCCTCCTCTGTTGAACTCTGGTTTTTAGGACAAGGGGTTCATGATCATCTAGAAGAAGATGGAAGTACAAAACCAACAGATTAGGTTCCTCAATGGAAGAAACTGGATTATCAACTTTGTGCACTATTATGACAATCTGTTGAACCAAATATTTTGAGCACTCTTCGATCCTTCAAGACATGTAATTCCTTTAGGAAAAAGACCCAAAATATATTTGCTAATGATATTCAACGACTCTATGATTCTGCTAATCGACTGGCCCCCTTAAGCAGGAGGATAATTCCATGATGTCTTTTGTTGCTGAAGCTCAATCAGTAGTTGAAGGATTAAAAATGTTCCTGGAGGCAAAGTCATTAGAGGAAAGAAAGACGAAGCTGGATAAATTCTATATGGTAATGATTCTTAGGGCTATGAATCCATAATTTAATCATGTTAGAGACCAAATTCTAATTGGAGAAGAAGTTCCTTCTACGGAGAGTTTATTCATAAGGCTACTTCGTGTTCCATCTATCAAAAGCAAAAACAGTCAGGAACTTGCTGAATCTTCCGCCATGATTTCTGCTCGTGGAAGAGGTAATCACGACAATAGAGGACATGGTGGTAAAGGACGTCCTCAGTGCTCTCATTGCAAAAGAATGAGACATATTAAAGAAAATTGTTTTGCTCTGCACGACTTTCCTGATAAGACAGCCAATACCTCAAAATCTGAAGTTGATGAGCCCAAGTTCTCTCATGAAGAGTATCAAGAATATTGAAGGATGAAATCAACCAATCTGGCTCAAGCATCTACAACACCAAATTCGTCAACTGCTTGTATTTTGCAATTTGTAGAAAGTCAAAATCCGTGGATTATTGACTTAGGTGCTTCTGACCACATGTATGGTAATACCTCTTTATTTTCTTCTCTTTCATTTCCTAAAACCTCCCATCTCATATCTTTAGCCAATGGATCTAAAGTAGCCTCTAAAGGAATTGGTCAAGTATCCATCTCTCCTTCTTTAAACTTTCAAAATGTTCTTTGTGTTCCTTCTTTTCCATTCAGTCTTGTTTTTGTAAGCCAATTAACCAAATAATTGAATTGCTCAGTAACCTTTAATGCCAATTATTTTGTTATCCAAGAACGTGGTACGGGTCGATTGATTGGAGAAGGACATGAATCTAGAGACTTATACTTGGTTGAAACTGCACGTACCTTATTGCTTGGTGCCAATATACCTATTCATCATTGGGGAGATGTTATTCTAACTGCATGCTTTCTCATTAATAGAATGTCATCTTCTTCTCTTAACAATAAAGTTCCACACTCTATTCTATTCCCAAAGGAACCAATTTTTCATGTTTCTCCTAGGGTATTTGGATGTATATGTTTTGTTCATGACATGTCTCCTGGCTTAGATAAACAATCAGCTAGAGCTATCAAATGTGTTTTCTTGGGGTATTCTCGTCTTTAAAAAGGATATCGGTGTAATTCTCCTGAAACCAAGAGGTACTACATATCTGCTAATGTCACTTTTTTTTAATCATCCTCCTTCCTCCCTTATTCTATGCAAGATATTGATTCTGTCCAACATGTTTTTCCTGTCCCCTTAGTTGAATCATTTGTACCTCCTATTTCTGACATCCCAAATCCCAACCAAAATACTCTAGAATCTTCATCACAGCCTATCATCATCTATCAACGCAGGAACCAGGTGAACAATCCCATTCCCCAATATGAGTCATCCATAACAGGTCCTTCTCAATCATCTTCTAATACCACAACTCCTGATAACGATGACTCCAATTAGCCCATTGCCATTCACAAAGGTGCTCGTTCTACTTGTAATCCTCATCCCATTTACAATTTTCTTAGTTATTATAGATTGTCTTCTTCTGTTGAAAGTCCCATATCGCCTACCTCATGTCATTTAGTATGGTTTAAATACATGTTAGACTACTCCACATATAGCCAATTGGTTTTATGTTGGAACCTGATATAAAAATAAAGTAAGGTGCAGAATTGTAAGAAGATAAGGTGCAGAATTTTAAGCAATAAAGTAAGCAAACCCAAGGAAAATTCCCACTGGACATTAAGATAGTTGCCTATCTAGATGTGAAGGTTCATTTCCAAGGATTATGGAGGGAGAAAGAGATGGAATGAAACTAGAAACGAATAAAGACAAGGGCTGGAAAATTGGACCAGCCCCTTGCATAAATAAATGAAGGGAAGAAATAAAGAAGAAAAGAGGAAGAGAAAAGAATTATGGCGGTGGTGGAGTGTTGGCACGCCACTAGGGGGATGAACCACCCTAGATAAGTGGTGGTTGCCGCCACTTGAACCAAGGTTCAAGATAAGACACTCAAAGAGATGGAACACTCTAAGAAACCTCAAACTTTTCATAAATGTTCAACCTAATTACATGAGGGGAAGCCTCTATTTATAGGCTTTTAGGGGAGGGACCTAGATGGAATTATAAAAGGAGACATAAACTTAACCTAAACCTAAAGGCTAGAGTCCCCATGGTCCAAATATGTTAAATTCGTTCTAGCCCACCAAAAATACCTCTAAGGGTGTGGAGAACATGAAAAAAGAGGTGTGTTTCCTTTTGGGTTGTCCCAAGCCAACCAATCCCGCATCCTAAGCTGCTTCCTCTCCAAAAAGGGGTGTAGGACATGAAAAAGGAGTGTCCTACACCTTTGGGCTGCCCATGCATGTATCCTATGGATCCAAGGCTTCTTTTCCACCAAAAAAAAAGGTGGTATTCTTCAAAAAGGAGGTGCAAAAAGTGAGCCTACAAAAAGAAAGCGAAAATAAGTGAAAAACTTAGAAAAAGAAAATACTAAGTAAAGATACTAAGTAAATTCAAAATGGAAGGTAAAGAGGAGGCCTCCCTTCTAGTCATGCTTCTAGTAATCCTCCTAGGAATGACCTCTCCCGCCTCCGGGGCAACTAGGGACTCATCAGAACCTTAACATGGTATCAGAGCCAAAGCCTAACATCTTTCCGGTTATTGTCATGGGCCAAAAGTTGCCCTTTAGTTGGATCAAAAGTACTCTTTGTCTGGTCCGGCAGACTTCGTTAGAGGGTGCGTATTGAAAGTCCCATATCGCCTACCTCATGTCATTTGGTATGGTTTAAATACATGTTAGGCTACTCCACATATAGCCAATTGGTTTTATGTTGGAACCTTTAACACCTTCCTATTGTACTTTTATTTCCTCTGTATCCTCTATTACGATCCCAAAAGTATGACCGAAACACTTGATTATCCTGGATGGAGATAAGCCTTGATTTCTGAAATGCAGGCTTTTGATCACAGCAAAACATGGGAGCTGGTTCCTCTCCCTTCGGGTAAGAAAACAGTTGGTTGTCGTTGGATCTATGCTATTAAAGTTGGGCCTAATGGTCAAGTTGATCGTCTCAAAGCCAGGTTAGTGGCTAAAGGGTACTCTCAGATATATGGACTTGATTATTGTGATACTTTTTCTCTTGTAGCCAAAATGACCACTGTCCGCCTGTTCCTTGCCATGACCACCATTCATTATTGGCCTCTTCATCAATTGGATATTAAAAATGTTTTTTTGCACGATGACTTAGAAGAAGAAGTTTACATGGAGCAACCTCCTGGATTTGTTGCTCAGGGGGAGTCTGGTTTGGTTTGTAAATTACGTCGATCTCTCTATGGCCTAAAACAGTCTCCACGTGCTTGGTTTGGAAAATTCAGTTCTATTGTTCAAGCTTTTGGATTAAAACGTAACGAAGCAGATCATTTAGTGTTTTATTGTCACACTGTCCCTGGCAAACATGTTTATTTAATTGTGTACGTTGATGATATTGTCATCACAAGGAATGATGCTGCTAGAATATCTCAGCTAAAAGAACACTGGTGTAGTCATTTTCAGACCAAGGATCTTGGAAATCTAAAATATTTCTTGGATATTGAAGTTGCTCAGTCAAGAGAAGGTGTTGTCATCTCTCAAAGGAAGTATGCTCTAGATATTCTAAAAGAGACAGGTATGATTGATTGCAAACTTGTGGACAGTCCTATGGATCCAAATTTGAAGCTAATGGCAGGATAGGGTGAAGCTTTCTCTGACCCAGAAAAATATAGAAGACTAGTTGGGAAACTTATTTATTTGACTATTACTAGACCCGATTTGTCTTTTGCAGTTGGTGTTGTCAGCCAATTTATGCAAGCCCCTTGTGTGGATCATTGGAATGCTATCATTCGAATCCTAAGATACATTAAAAGTGCTCCAGGATAAGGTTTGTTATATGAAGATAAGAGAAATGCCCAAATTTTTAGGTACTGAGATGCTGACTGGGCTGGATCTCCTATGGATAGGCGTTCCACTACAGGCGATTGTGTTTTCTTTGGAGGTAACATCATTTCATGGAAAAACAAAAAGCAAAACGTTGTTGCCTAATCCTCTGCTGAAGCTGAATATATGACAATGACGTCTCTCACTTGTGAACTTGTATGGGTAAAACAATTATTGCAAGAACTGAACTTCTGTGAGATTAAATCTATGAAGATGTATTGTGATAATCAAGCTGCTCTCCACATTGCTTCCAACACAGTATTTCATGAGAAGACTAAACATATAGAGATTGACTGTCACTTTATTCGGAAGAAGTTGTTGACTAAAGAAATTTGTACTGAGTTTGTTGGTTCCAATGATCACCTTGCAGATGCATTAACAAAATCTTTGAGAGGACCTCGAATGGAATTCATTTGTTCCAAGCTTGGTACAATCAATTTGTATGCTCCAGCTTGAGGGGGAGTGTTGAGTATTTATTAGATTAGTTGTATCTTGTTGAGCATTTATGAGATTAGTTGTATCTAACTATAGACCTAGTTCCTAGAATGCATCTGTTTATCTTCTCTAGGTTTAATCATTTATTTCTATTAATTGTATCTCATAATCTGTATCTTTATCTCCTATAAATAAGAGAACACAAGAGAATGATTTCAAGCTCTCAAAAACAGTTCTTTATTTTTCTATTTCTATTTCAAGTTAAACCTTTAACCCAACTCAACCCATGTAGTTCCTTAGCCTTGCATTTGTCATAAAACCCTGACTCTAGCCTACTAAATTATTAATCCATTAGTTTCTCTGTCACTTTGAATATCAGAAAGTAACAACACAGTCTGCCCATGTTATTGCCGGAGAGTGATTTTTTCTTATTGCCGACTTAATGATGAAGTAAATATGAGTTGGGAGCTCAAAACATACTCCAAAGTCCAAACAACAGTAATGCATTAATGCATGCAATTGTATATATCCTCTTTCCCTCCTCAAGTAGCTCGGCTTGAAAATTATGCTCATTCTCAGATTATTTGTCTGAATTGTTTAGGCCTCCTCCAACCTGTTGTACCCTCATATCTCATGATTTAATGCACTTAGAGTCCTTCACTTATTCCTGTCTAGTTCATGCCGAAGGCCCTCATTTATATCGCTTAAAATACAGATCATATTCTGAATTTGTACCATTTTATTTTATTTTTCCTGCCAGTCACTGCTTTCATATTTTGGCTGTCGTACAGAAATCCAAAGGTGATATTATATCAGTCCTGAAGGCTGAGAAAGAAGAGTTGGAATCATCACTCAGCAAGGAGAAGCAGCATGCTCTTCAACTGAAGCAAGAGCTGGCAGAAGCTGAGTCTCGAAATTCCGACCTTTACAAGGTAAACCACCTTTAATTGTTGAAGTTACTTTCTAATTTGGAATTAGTCAGGAATGGATTTAGCTCAGGAATCAAGCACTGAAGTGGAAAAATAATATTTTTTAATGATTAATAACAATTAAAAAGTAGAATTCCCGAGAGAAGCTATTCTATTGCTCTTTTTCTGTCTATAGCTTTGAGTTACAGGGCAATACGCCCTCCATTATTTAACGAGACTGCTTTATTTTGTCTATCGGTCTCTAGGATTAGTCGGGTCATAGACCCACGCAGAATGGCATGTATGATTGAACTGGTTCAGATTAAAAAAAGGAAAATTGAACTTTATTAAGGTGCCCCTACTTCCCCAATCTCTGCTCCAACTTAGAACAGTATAAAATAATCAGGTAATGAATAGGTCAAATAATGATTTCCCTAGATATTTGAAAGACCCAGGCCTCTCCCACATATGTCCACTCAATGTGGTACGATACCATTCCTCTCCTCTTCTTCTAGACAGTTAGTCATCACTCATCATTCTGTTTGAACTTGTCTTACTACTAATTTCATCCTCTGCACTTCTCCTAGATCTCCTTTGATAGATCCTATTAACTAAGGTCTTGGTCTATCATTGTATAAGAAAAACTTATATATATTTTTTAGGATTTATTGATAGGATTCAGGTCCATTATTTATTTATGACAGAAAATTATGGTGCTGTTTGATCCAGATTTTTGAGCCCCACTCAATGGGAAAATTATTGGCTGTTATATTTGTTAATGAAGTCTGAACAATGTCATTGTTCTTAAAAGGTCCTTGTTAGATAAATTTGTTATGGTAATCATACAATTGTAGGATTTACGATTATGTTAATTAGGAAATTATTTTTTCTGTACTTTGTTAACCTCTCTATATAATAATACATTCTGTTGTGTGCATCTACTAACGGATTTAGGCATGTTTCTTGCTTTCTCTACCCAACATTGTATTAGAGTGAGGCGACAGAAAATGATAGCTTAATGTGACATAATGGGGTAAGGAATTACGAGTACAACATATATCATTCCAAAGAGCAATAGGAATATCAGTGTCTGGTTGGAGGAGACAAATGAGTTGGGACCAGATGTGGGTCAGAAGTTTTCCTAACATCAAGTGGAGGAGGATGGTGGCGGCAATAGTACACTTGCAATGTAGGTGAAGGAAATGGATTCTCCCGTGGATCAGGTTGACCATTACATATATCTGGTTAAGTATGGATGATTGAAATGAGAAAAGGAGGAATAGGAAGGTGAAAACAGACTCAAACCAGGTGGAAACCAATGAAAGAAAGAGACGAGAAAAAATTACGTTTGTTGAGACTAGGTAACAACTAAGTGAAGGAGAATAACATGTCTAACCTTTTTGAGACTTGGTGTAACCAAGGAAGCTCCCTTGCGAGAACAAGTAGCAATTTAGCAAGATCAGGACTAAGACTATAACAACCATATAAACTCAAATATGTGGAGGTAGTAGACGGTAAAGGATTAGGTGAGAAAATAAAATAGAGGTATTTTATTAATGAGCAACCTCAAGAGGATATGTGATTAATGAGATAAAGCAAAAGGAACATCAACCCGAAACTGATGAGAAACATTACTACAATTGACCTTGATGTGACAATAGAATGCCTCGGTGACTGACTGCTTGGTGGCAAAGGTTATGCATAGGTGTCCAAATTATTTTTAACATTTTTTCTCCTGTGGATAAAATGTCTCTTGTCAGGTTTGTTGTTGTCCATCACCTGGTTAAAGTAATGCTGTTGTCACCATATTCAAACAGAAGATCTTGGTAAACTCTATTTCTTCTTGGGGATATATAGGTAGCAGAAGACGAAAGTATTATTATCAATTAGCAAAGTATGCAATGGATAACAAGAGTGGTGAAGCTAAGGCTATTGACACAACTATGGATCTTACTTTCAAACTTCTACCATATAATGGGAGCCAATTTCAAATCCAGATAAGTATAAGTGATTGTTTCGGAAGCTGAATTATCTCATTGTCACCTGACCAGCTATTTTCTTTGCAATATGTAGTGTGTTGGTTTTTCAAATTTTGTTCTGAGGGACATTGGGGTGTTGTCCTTTAGTTTGAAATATATCAAAGGAACGAACTTCAGAAAAAAAGCTTTTATACTCGAGTTGTGGAGATTAGATTAGGATGCAGATTTGGCAAGTTTTCCCATTAAAAGGAGATCCACCTTTGGGTATTGCATTCTTATTAGTGATAAGTTGATTTCCTGAAGAGGTAAGAACATCTAGTGGAAGATTTGAGTATTGAGCGATGACTTCAATCACTCATGAACTTTTTTTGCTCAAAGAACTGAAGCTTGGAGAAATGTTACTAGAATGATGCTCGTTGTAATTATTAGTCTGCCTAGCACATAGTTTCAGATCTATTATTCCATAAGAAAAATAAGGGCATTGAGGTAGAGTTTCTCTTCGTTAGGGAGAAAATCTTATCATGTGACATCACTCAACATTAATTGTCAAATGTCTTCAAATATCTGAGGGGTCCTCGAATTGATTAATTGTATTTTGTATGAAGCTCTCTGCGTACAATATAAATGCTGGAGCTTCCAAGGAAGTGTTATATATGTATAATGATAATAATTAGGCAATTGTTGGAAATTGTTAAGTATTTTAATTTTTATAATTACACAATTTAGAATTACATAATTATGTATTTTCCTTGTAATTATTACCCACACCACATAATAATACACTCTACTGTATATACTGACACAAATTCAGTAATGTCTCTTGCTTTCTCTTTTTCTCAGTAGTCCTTAAATTTGTTATGCTGATAATGTAGGAGCTCCAATCCGTTCGTGGTCAGCTTGCTTCTGAGCAGTCGAGGTGTTTCAAACTTGAGGTATGCATTAATGCTTCTGAGAGTCTTCTCCTTCCTCTTGGTCTACAAGTGTTTTAGAATTGGATTTTGTGTTTAGGGAGGTGATTAAATATTGGGCAAGCGTGGTCCACTATTAATCAGATCGATAAACCATTCATCATGTAACCCTATTCACGTGACAAGAATTTGATTTTAAAAATCATCGTTGTATGCTAAACTAGGTGTCAATTTCAAGTGTTCAATAACTTATGATGAGACTTCTTATGGGAAAATCCCTTTGTGGTGATCTAATTACCTGTTTGACTCTGCTTTAAAATTTTGGTATTTTTCTCCTTTCACAGATGAAGCAAGTTGCATTTGTTATTATTATTGACCTGAAAAATAATATTTGAGAATGTAGGTGGAGGTTGCTGAATTGGGTCAGAAGCTCCAAACGATTGGGACATTACAGAAGGAGCTGGAGCTCCTTCAGCGGCAGAAGGCTGCATCAGAGCAAGCTGCCTTAAATGCAAAACAGAGGCAGAGTTCAGGTGGTGTGTGGGGTTGGCTTGCCGGTTCTCCCCCTGATCAGAATGCAGATGATGCGTGAACCTTAGTTGAATAGTAGTTATACATTACTCTTGGTTTCATTTAACCAATTTTATTTCCAATACTTATTGTGTATTAATTCAGTTCTTTTTTTAGTGATGTAGACAAGATTTAGCTTCTATTTGGCCGAAGGATTTTCTACACCTGAGGATACCATGATATAAATAGTAGATGTTTCTTTTGCCGCCATTTTTGCTGATGATTGTATTCAAAGTGACATACATTATTGAATGAAAAATATAGAAATTCTTTTGATTTGTGAGAGGTACTACCTTAATAGCATTTTCATTCAACCAATGTTTTCTGTTTTGAGGGCTTTATTTGAAGATTATCTTAAGAATGATCGCCAAATTAAGTCATAATATAATTTTTATGTGATTTTTTATTGAAGAATTTTATTTCAATGGTATAAAATATTTTCTAATACTATTTAACGGATTATAATTTTAATTACAAAATCAGAAACCAACAATGAAAGTAACAACATAATAACATGTAGTTTTCATGACTATTATGTTGTAGATTATAAATTTTAAATATTATCCTCACTTTTAATATATTTTGTATTATTTTATAAAAATTATGTTTGTATATTTTTTTTATTCCTAACAGAGACGTGCTCATGAAGTACATGTTAGTAATGAAATACATGCATGAGTTTTTATAAAAAATAATTATAAACATTAACATGTATTTAAGCAATTGATTTTTGTTATGTGTGTGATGCTAGTCTTTAATATTTTAATTACAAGAATTTGGTCTTTTAGTTATCATAATTGAGGTTTTGGTCTCTGTATTTGTCTTTCATTAAATATTTAATATTTTTTTCTAATACGCCTTTATATTATAACATTGTGATGACATTTTAGTTCATATATTGTCAGACACATATTAACATTATATAATTGTACTTTTAACTTTTTAGAAAGTGCAAATAACAAACTAAAAAGCATAATTAAGTGGGCTAGTGTTAGTGGGTAAACAAAATCGAATAAGTATATATACTAAAGTAAAGGAGGGTAAAAAGGTAAAAATATATATATATATATATATATATATATAATTTTAGATTTTTATATGCTTTATATTATTCTAGTTTATTTAAGTGTTTTTTTTAAGAAGTATTAGATACAAGTATAGTTACATTCATATATAAAAAAATATAAATTTAAATCATATACTTTCATATAAATAAATAATCGCATTATATGTGATCAAATAAAAAGTATAAGATACATTTTTTGTCACATGGATGATTTAAATTATAGTTTCATTTCTCGTTAAAAAATAGTTTTATTTGATACATTGTACGTACAATGTCATGAAAATTGAGGTAGATTGTCGTCATAATAATATGGAATTAGTTACATATAAACATGATCATTAATAATGTATAGCATATTGATTTTTTAATGTATAGCATATTGATTTTTTAATTACATTACTTTAAATGGTTAAATTTAAAATAATAAATAAGTATATATATAACTCAATCAAAGAAACGAAGACAAGTGCAATAAAAAAACTTAATCATTAGGGTTTTAATTATCTATTTAGCATTGCACTCTAGCTTTTCGTTTCTCTCTTTTTCTCAGGATGCCTTAGAAATGGCGAAGTCTGCCATATGCAAGTGCAACCTCTAACTCTCGCCTTTGTTTGTAGAGTTTTGTTCCGTGAATTTATAATTTTCGTCAACAGAGGAAGCGACTAATGACCGAATTGCACTCTGAAGACAATGCCGCGGTTGCTACCGATTCTCCAAGGGTTTCGCGAAACCACAAACTCGATGACGGTTCAACGGAAGAGTATAGGGTTAGGGTTTGCTCCGACGGTAACACATCGTCCGCCGTTGATCGATTCGCGGCGGAAAATGACAGCGACAAAATTCCTGGTTTCGATAGCAGATCGCTGCTGTCAGAATTCGACGAGTACGTGGCAGCTGAGAGGCACGTGTCACGGGATCTAGGGTTTGGGTTTGAGGTCGGTGACATGGTGTGGGGGAAGGTGAAGTCTCACCCGTGGTGGCCTGGGCACATATATAACGAAGTATTTGCGTCCCCTTCGGTGCGTCGCTTGAAGCGGGAGGGTCACGTGTTGGTGGCTTTCTTCGGCGATAGTAGCTACGGCTGGTTCGAACCGGCCGAGCTTATTCCGTTCGACGCAAATTTCGCCGAGAAATCACAGCAGACGAATTCGAGGACGTTTTTGAGGGCCGTGGAGGAGGCGGTCGACGAGGCCTGCAGGCGGCGTGGGCTTGGTTTAGCTTGTAGGTGTAGGAACACTGATAATTTTAGGCCTACAAATGTTGAAGGGTATTTTTTTGTTGATGTGGAAGATTATGAGCCCGGAGGGTTGTATTCTGAAGGCCAGATTACGAAGGCAAGGGATAGTTTTAATCCGAGTGAGACTCTTGCTTTCGTGAAGCAATTGGCGATTGCTCCACATGATGGTGGCCGCGGAAGCATTGGATTCACTAACAATAAGGCTACCCTTTCAGCTTATCGGAAGGCAGTGTTTGAGCAGTTTGATGAGACTTATGCCCAGGCCTTTGGGGTTCAGCCGATGCGCGCCAATCATCCTCAGATTTGTCCACTCGATCCGCCTGGGACCGTGAGGCACACTCCTAGAGGTATATAGACATATTAGTGCCTCCTTTCAGGTTTATTTGTTATTGGAGACACTGTATTTCAGTATATTTTCTATGTGTTTCTGTCATTGCTGACAACCAATTTAATTACCAAATCTTTCTAGATTTTTGTGGTTATGGAATAAAGCAGTTGAGTCGTTAGGAATATACCAGTCTTGAGACTTAATACATACTACTCTTAGATGTTTAAGCACTAGACTCTGAAGTGAAGATATGAGTTTCCTGATCTTCTTTAGTGCATAAATTGTGTTTTGGTTTTGGTTAACTATCTGTTGGCTGTTGTTGTTCTGAATATTGTTTGTCAACATTTTTTAGAGGGTTGAATAGTTGTCATTCTTTTTATGTTTGTGTTTGGTAGCTTAAATGTTTCAGTCTCCGACTAAAATTTAGGTCGAAAGAGAAAGAAATAGATTGAAGAGATGCTCTGTGTGATTGGACTACAGAACTAAATCCATTTTTTTTAAGTTGATTCGATAAAAATAGAAACAATTATAGGAGATGTTATTCCTATGGTATGATATGCCTATAAATCATATTATAAAGAATCTGATTCTAATTATATATCTTAAAACTATAAAGATCCTAATTAAATTGGGAAAGTAGTCATAAAATATAAAAGAAGAATAAATCTTAAGATAATCTAAAATATTCTGAGATAATATCTTATATTTCTAGCACTCTTCCAAGTTGAATCTTACTATGTTTTATCTTCTTACAGGAAACAATTTACTTCCCCACAAATTAAAACTAAGAAACGTATAAATTGACCATTAGTTTAATTTACATTGTGAGCTTTTGTAGTTTATCCTCTCACTTATTTACGCTAATTTATGTGGAACGAACATGATGTTTATTGTTGTGTGTATCAAGCTATTCAAAGCCACTTCAATGTTAATGCTACCTTTTTCTTCTCTTTTAATTTATTTTTTTATTTTTTTCAGCTCCTTTGAGTGGTCCACTGGTGATTGCAGAAGTGTTGGGTGGTGGGAAAAGCTCTACCAAATCTCTTAAAGTTAAGGAGGCTTCGAAGAAGGATAGGTACCTTTTTAAGCGGAGAGATGATCCAAATAACTCTGTCCAATTAGCATACAAGGAGGACAAGTGCGATGTTACAAATAGTTATGTATTTCAGAAGAGGGTTCCAGCTGTGTCTATGACACATCATAAATTAGAAAAACAAGCAGACACAGGATTTATTAGTCATGACAGTGCTGCTTTAATTTTGGATGATAAAGAACATTTAAAAGGCCAGGTTCAAGCAGCAGATGGCTCTGGTCATTCTTCTGCCATTTCCTCAGATGCAAATCCTCACCCTGACAAGGGAAAGGAATCTTCTGAAGAAATGACACACAACTTTGAACATGATAATGCTTCTAGTAAAAGAATGGTCAGGTCTGATATGTCTGATGAGTTGGCATTATTAAGCACAGTTGATGAGATGTCTCAACTATTACATTTGGAGAACCAAGTTTCTGTTGATGTTAAATATGATGAGAATGCAAAATTGTCTGGACCATGTGAAGATTTTAACCAAGTAGAGCTGGGATGCCCTGTTACTGTTGGAGTAAATGACATGCATCAGCTTAAGAGTGAAAATAACGTTTATGGTTCACCATTTGAAACAAAGCATAACAAAATTAGTGGGGTGACGAAGATAAAAGGTCATAAGAGACCTGCAACTGAGTTGAACTCTGAGAATTCTGTTGTTGGAGAGAGAAAGAAGAAAAAGAAAAAGGACTTATATTTAAAACCTGATGCTAAGTTGAACTCTGAGACTTCTGCTGTTAGAGAGAGAAAGAAGAAAAAGAAAAAGGACTTAAATTTAAAACCTATCTTAGGCTTTCCAGAGAAGCATTCTACTGTTGTTAGGAAATCAGTACACCTTTCTGTAAAATCAACAGGAAGAGCTGTCTCAAGTGGTTTCTCTCCAAGAGAGGATTTCCCTTCAGAACAAGTGGAGGTGGATGCTAATGCACGAAATTTGCTGCCCATGGATATAAGAGGTAATGCTAATTTGGAATTGCCACAACTTTTGGGTGACTTGCAGGCTCTTGCTTTGGATCCTTTTCATGGCATTGAAAGAAAGATCCCTTCAGCTGTTCAGCTATTCTTTCTGCGATTCAGGTCTCTTGTTTACCAGAAAAGCTTGTCTGTATCTCTACCAACCGAGAATGAAACTCCTGAAGGCCGCCTCACTAAATCTCCTTCCAGTCTCAGAACATCTGACAGTCCTGATGAGTATGTCAAAGCTTCACCGGTTGTAAAACCTGTGAAACATATTGTTCGCCCTGATGATCCTACAAAAGCTGGGTGGAAAAGGGCTCCTTCTGATCGGCAAGATGAAATTGCTGCCAAGAGGTTGAAGAAAATCAAGGATTCAAAGGCTTTAGCTTCAGAAAAGGCTTTGACTAGTCAGAAAACTTCTGAAGCCCGGCGAGAAGATGGAAAAGAATCCATGTCTCAAGCTCCATCCAAGTTACTGAAACTAGACTCAACCAAGAAAGTGGACAGTCCGGCTAAGGCAGTTGAGCCCACAATGTTGATGATCAAATTTCCTCCTGAAACATCACTTCCATCTATTGCAGAGCTGAAGGCAAGGTTTGCTCGCTTTGGCCCAATGGACCAATCAGGTTTCCGTGTATTTTGGAACTCGTCAACTTGTCGGGTTGTTTTCTTGCACAAGACTGATGCTCAGGCTGCATATAAATACTCTGTAGGAAATCAATCCTTATTTGGTAGTGCAGGTGTGAGGTGTTTCCTTAGGGAATTTGGGGATTCTGCACCTGAAGTCTCTGAAGCTGCGAAGGGTAGGGCAGATGATGGTGCCGGTGAAACAACTCGGGTCAAGGATCCTGCAGTGGTTCATCGCCAGGCATCAGCATCATCTTTGCTACCTCTTCCTCAGCCCATCCAACTCAAGTCCTGCCTGAAGAAATCTACAGGTGATGAGTCGGGTCTGGTTACGGGTAATGGAAGTAGTAGTAAAGGAAACTCTCGTGTAAAATTCGTGTTAGGTGGGGAAGAAAGTAGTAAGGGAGACCAAATAATGGTGGGTAGTAGAAACAAGTTCAACAATGCTAATTTTGCTGATGCTGGCTCACCTTCTGTTGCAATGGATTTTAATAGTAAGAACGTTCAAAAGATGACATTACAACCCCCGTTGCCTATTATTCCCCTTCCTACTCAGTTTTCAAAAACCTCCCAACATAATTTGCGTAATTCTGAATTGGCAATGGCACCCCGAAACAGTCCGAATTTTATTAACGCCACAGCATCAGCTACTCCAAGCACAGTTGATATATCACAGCAGATGATGCACCTTTTGACAAGGTGCAGCGATGTTGTGACTAACCTCACTGGCTTATTAGGCTATGTGCCTTACCATCCGCTTTGACAAAAAAAAAAAACTCTTCACTACACCCATATCGATATCATTCATAAGTACATACACAAGAAAAGTTTTCAGAGTGGAATACTGTTGATAACTTGCTCCTACAACGTGCTGGGTCATGTTTGGGCGAGTCTATTTGAGATTTTGAGCTCTATAAATGTAAATGCACTCATTGTCAGTAGCATCTTATTAGCTGCCCTTTTCTATTCGTTTTCTTAGTTATATATTTAATAGATCTCTTTGTGGGGTGGGGTGGGGTTACTCAGTTGATATATGTATTATATATCCTGTTTACGCCCTTTCCTTACTTTGTGTAGCTGAGGCATCCTTTGCTGTGTCATTGGCCGCAATATTGCTTAATTTAGAAATGACTTTGGGATAAGTATATTGAAAAAATTAGGATAATTTGATTAAGTATTAAATTTAACAAATTACTCCCGTAATTACTTGTTTTTTAAACATTTTCATGTTTCAATTTCTTATATTACATATGTTAGGTGAATGATTTGCCTATATGATAAATTAGCTCATGAAATCATGCCAGCAAATTATTAGTTTTGAAATTCTGAAGTTATTTTTTTCTTTTATCTTTTAAATTTATTTTATTTTAATTTTCTTTTTTGTAAATTAAATTGAAAATCGTAATATAGGTAAACTTTTCTTTTCTCTTTCAAATTTGTTTTATTTTAATTTTCTTTTTTGTAAAGTTAATTGAAGATCGTAATATAGGTTAAACTTCATTATGCTTTAAAAAAACAACTTTTCCATCTCTTAAGACTCGTTCTGTATATTTTCTGTACTTTCACGAAAAAAAATAAGAAAAATGATTGAATTAATAAAAACTACCATTAATGTTTAGTGAATTTAAAATTAGATTTCTTAATAACAATGATCATGCTACGTGTAACTATGAGTTTTCTTATTAATGAATATATTATTCGGCGTTATAGAACAAGAAGTTGGTCATGACAGAATTGTGAGTCACAAGCATTCGGCTGTGTTAGTATTTTCATTCTCACCAAACATTTACACCACACCCCCTTATACCTTCTTTTATTACACCCCTTGTACCTTCTTTTAGTACAAGTTTGCTTTTTTGAAATCTCTTAACTCTAAAGTTGTATTTCCTAACCGCTTTCAACCTTACTAACTTCTTTTTAAATTTTTTATTTTTATACCAAGAATTTTTTTTTAATTTTTAAAAAAAATTGAATGTTTTTTTAATCATTAATTTTGGAAATATATTTTTAAGAATAAAATAAAAAAATTTCATAATCAATACAAGAGAAGGTGAATAAGGTGAAATTCTGATGAAGGTTAAAAGTGACAAAAACATTGAAATATGTGATTTAGTAGTTGAAAGATATATATATATATATATATATATATATATATATATATATATATATATATATATATATATATATATATTATTTATAACAAAAAAACACAGGCCTAATTAGTTATTGTTTATAAAATTAATTTTTAAAATATTTGTTTGAACGATTAAAATAATTTTCAAAACATGTTTTGTTTGTAGTTTTTGTAAACTACAAAATTAAATTTGATAAAAAATATTTTTAATTATATTTTCATGAATATTTGTATTCATAATTACATTATATTATTAATCTTAGTTATTCATGAAATTATTAAAATTAGTTTTAAATTTCTATCTGTTTTTTATTTTTACTATAATTCTCTCTTCGTTCCTTTCATCTAAAATTTCAAACTGTAACTATAAAAAAAAGTCTATCTTATTTTTTAAAATAAAATTTCAATATTATTTCTAAAACTGTTTTAATAAAAACAAACGAAATAATATAATATAATCTTTAAAAATTATTTAACAATTTTGTCTTCAAAATTTAATTGTTAAAATTATTTTAAAAATAAAAAATAAAATAAAAGTAGTAAATTTCTATTTATATGTATGTTCAATCATGTAAAATAACCATAATTCATTAAAATTTACTGATGACACTTATAAAAATTAAAATTATGATAAATTAATTTTAAATTATTCTTATTAAGAAATTTAAAACCCTATCCAAGAAATAGTCACACAAATCATCGTATTTATTACTAGGGTTTTAAATGCCTTGTTAGTACATAAATTCTCTTTTCATTTCGCTCCTCTCACCATCCTCGGAAATGGCAAGCTCACTGATCTGCAAGTGAAACCTCTAACTCTTGCCTTCGTTCGGGTCATATCGTGAATTTCTCATCTACTTCAACAACGACGCTACTAATGACCGAATTGCATTCTCAAGACAACGCCTCTGTTGTTACCGATTCTCCTAGGGTTTCACGAAACCAAAACCTTGAGGACACTTCAACCGAAGAGTTTAGGTTTAGGGTTTCCTCCGACGGCAACACACCTTCTACCGTCGATCGATTCGCGGCGGAAAATGACAGCGACAAATTTCCAGGTTCCGATAGCGGATCTCTGTTATCGGAATTCGACGAGTACGTGGCAGCTGAGCGACACGTGTCGCGGGATCTAGGGTTTGGGTTTGAGGTCGGTGACATGGTGTGGGGGAAGGTGAAGTCTCACCCGTGGTGGCCTGGGCACGTATACAACGAAGCGTTTGCGTCCCCTTCGGTGCGTCGCTTGAAGCGGGAGGGTCATGTGTTGGTGGCGTTCTTCGGCGATAGCAGCTACGGCTGGTTCGAACCGGCCGAGCTTATTCCGTTCGACGCGAATTTCGCGGAGAAATCGCAGCAGACAAATTCTAGGACGTTTTTAAGGGCCGTGGAGGAGGCGGTTGATGAAGCCTGCAGGAGGCGTGGGCTTGGTTTAGCTTGTAAGTGTAGGAACACTGATAATTTTAGACCAATAAATGTTGAAGGGTATTTTTGTGTTGATGTGGAAGATTATGAGCCTGCTGGGTTGTATTCTGAAGGCCAGATTAGGAAGGCGAGGGATAGTTTTAAACCGAATGAGACACTTGCTTTCGTGAAGCAATTGGCGATTGCTCCACATGATGGTGGCCGCGGCAGCATTGAATTCACTAACAATAAGGCTACCCTTTCGGCTTATCGGAAGGCGGTGTTTGAGCAGTTTGATGAGACTTATGCTCAGGCTTTTGGGGTGCAGCCGGTGCTCGCCACTCATCCTCTGACTAATAAACTCGATGAGCCTGGGACTGTGAGGCACACTCCTAGAGGTATATATATACATATATAGTTCTTTCTTTCATTTTTATTGGTTAATGGAGACATAGCGTATTTCAGTAACTTGTCTATGCAATATTTGTTTTTTGTTGACATTGAATTTGATAACCAAAACTTTATAGATTTTTGTTGTTATGGAATAAAGTATCGTGTTGTTAGGAATATACATGTCTTGGAACTTAATACCTACTCTTGGATGTTTAAGCACTTTACTCTGCAGGGAAGATATGAGCGTCTGGTCTTCTCTATTGCGTAAACCGTGTTTTGGTTAAGTCCCTTATGGTTGATGTTGATGTGGAGATTGTTTGTCAATATTCCAATATGATAGAGGTTTGAATCGTTGTGATGGTTGTGCTTGGTAGCTGAAATGTTTGGTAGCTAAAAACATGACTGGGTATGGTTCTTGATGGGTACATCATCATGAGAAACCGAACTAGTTTACGTTACGATGAGAACTGAGGTGAATGAATGATAAGTTTAATAATAATATATTTGGGAGAAAGTTTAATAAGAATATATTTTGGAGAAAGTTAGAGTAGCTCCTATTGAGAAGATGATGACAGAAACTTGCCTGAGGATAAGGTGGATTTGGTGATTGAGTAGAATACCAGAGGCTCTAATGAGCTGGAAGAAACGGATCAAATGGAAGATAATTAGATTAAATGTGGTAGGAAGACGATAATAAATTTGGAGAATCCGAGACCTTAATCTACTATAGCGTTTGGTATGTAAAATATTTTATTATTATTATTATTATAAATTATGATTTTTGGAATGTTATAAATGTATCTAGTATGCTTAAAAGTTCTCATTTGACAACGTTTCATGAATCTTCAACTTCCCCACCCTCCATGGTAATCTTGGTTTTACACCCCTTCCATTTGAATGTTTTGTTGGGAATCATTAAAAAGAATTCTTAGAATTGTTTCGTTATTATTTTAATTTTTACCAAACATGGTTCTAACATTGTTAATCTATAATTATTGGGAAACTTAGAAGAACCCCCTAACAAACTTCCCAAATGGTTTTATTGAAATGTTTATTTTAGAACCCAATGGCATGACATGATTCTTTTAATCAACCCACGTAGTGGGTTTACCCTTGGTTGTGATTGTTGTAATTATTCCTAATTAATTTAATACAAATTGTTTTGTGTTCACAGAACCTTGTTAGTATGATTAAGCTTTTTGTGTACCTTTTGCAAAAAGTTTCATGGGAGGTGAAGCTTCCTATAATAACATTAGGGTAACTAGATTGTCTGCATTTTATCAATAGCCTTTTAATTGAATTGTTAGTTTAATTTGTAGTTTATCCCCTCACTTGTGTATTGGAATATGATCTTTATTGTTGTGTCTCAAGCTATACAAAGCCAGTTCAAATATCAGTGCTACCTCTTTTACTTTGTTTTCAATTTTTTTTTTCCAGCTCCTTTGAGTGGTCCTCTGGTGATTGCTGAAGCTTTGGGTGGTGGGAAGAGTACATCTGTTAAAGTTAAGGACGCTTTGAAGAAGGATAGATACCTTCTTAAGCGGAGAGATGATCCAAATAGTTCTGTCCAATTAGCATACAATGACAACAAATCTAATGCAGCAAATAGTTATGTGTTCCAAAAGAGGGCTCCAGGTATTCCTGTGACACCTCATAATTTAGAAAAACAAACAGACACAGGATTTATCAGTCATGATGTTGCAGCTTCAACTTCAGATGCCAAAGGTTTAATTGGTCAGATTCAAGCAGATGACTGTGGTCTTACATCTCTTACCACTTCCACAGATGCAAAGCCTCTTCTTGACAAGGGAAAGGAATCTTCTGAAGAAGTGACACATAGCTTCGAACATGATAATGCTTCAAGTAAAAGCATGGTTAGGTCTGATTTGTCTGGGGAATCGGTAGTACCAAGCACAGTTGATGACATGTCTCAACCATCACATCTGGAGAAAAAATTTGATGTTAAACAAAATGGGAACGCAAAATTGTCAGGACCATGTCAAGATTTTAACCAATCAGGGCAGAGACTAATGGCTACTGCAGATGGAGTAAATGACATGCATCAAGTTAAAAGTGAAAATAATGTTTATGGTTCACCAGTTGAAGCAAAGCATCACAAAATTAGTGTGGTGAAGAAGATTAAAGGTCATAAGAGACCTGCAGATGAGTTGAATTCTGACACTTATGCTGTTGGGGAGGGAAACAAGAAAAAGAAAAAGGACTTAAATTTACAACCTAACTTCGGCTTTCCAGAGAGACATTCTACATTTGGGAGATCGGTTTCTGTAAAATCAACAGGAAAATCTGTGACAAGTGGTTTGGCTGCTAGAGAGGATTTCCCTGCAGAACAAGTGGACGTTGATGTTAATGCCTGTAATTTGATACCACCCATGGATACCATAGGAAATGCTAATTTGCCATTGCCGCAACTTTTGGGTGATTTGCAGGCCCTTGCTTTGAACCCTTTTCATGGCATTGAAAGAAAGATCCCTGCAGCTGTACAGATATTCTTTCTGCGATTCAGGTCTCTTGTTTACCGAAAAAGCTTGTTTGTATCTCCAGCAACTGAGAATGAAGCTCCTGAAGTTCGCCTCACCAAATCTCCTACTAGTCTCCGGACATCTGACAATCCTGATGCGTATGTCAAAGCTTCACCGATTGTAAAACCTCTGAAACATGTTATTCGTCCTGGTGATCCTACAAAAGCTGGGCGAAAAAGGGCCCCCTCTGATCGACAAGAGGAAATTGCTGCTAAGAGGTTGAAGAAAATCAAAGATATAAAGGCACTAGCTTCAGAAAAGGCAATGACTAGTCAGAAACCTTCTGATACTCGGCGAGAAGATGGAAAAGAATCCTTGTCCCAGGCTCCATCAAAGTTAGTGAAACTAGACTCGACCAAGAAAGTGGAGAGTCTGGCTAAGGCTGTTGAGCCTACCGTTTTGATGATCAAATTTCCTCCTGAAACATCACTTCCATCTATTGCAGAGCTGAAGGCAAGGTTTGCTCGCTTTGGCCCAATGGATCAATCAGGTTTTCGTGTGTTTTGGAATTCATCAACCTGTCGGGTTGTTTTCTTGCACAAAGTTGATGCACAGGCTGCATATAAATATTCTGTTGGAAATCAATCGTTATTTGGCAGTGTGGGTGTGAGGTGTTTCCTTAGGGAATTTGGGGATTCTGCTCCTGAAGTCTCTGAAGCTGCCAAGGGTAAAGCAGATGACGGGGGTAGTGAAATACCTCGGGTCAAGGATCCTGCAGTGGTTCATCGCCAGGCATCAGCATCATCTTTACTACCTCTTCTTCAGCCCATCCAACTCAAGTCCTGCCTGAAGAAATCTACAGGTGATGAGTCGGGTCTGATTACGGGCAATGGAAGTAGTAGTAAAGGAAACTCTCGTGTAAAATTCATGTTAGGTGGGGAAGATAGTAGTAGGGGAGACCAATTAATGGTGGGTAGTAGAAACAAGTTCAATGCTAGTTTTGCTGATGCTGGCTCACCTCCTGTTGCAATGGATTTTAATAGTAAGAGCGTTCAAAAGATTACTTTACAACCCCCGATGCCTGTTCTTCCCCTTTCTACTCAGTTTTCAAAAACCCCACAACAAAATTTACGTAATCCTGAATTGGCAATGGCACCCCGAAACAGTCCGAATTTTATTAACGTCACAACATCAGCTACAAGCACAGTTGATATATCACAGCAGATGATGCACCTTTTGACGAGGTGTAGCGATGTTGTGACTAACCTCACTGGCTTATTAGGCTATGTCCCTTACCATCCGCTTTGACAAAAAATACTTCAGACACTACCACATCCATTTCGATATCATCATTCTTACATACATACACTACAAAAGTTATTGAGTGGAGGTCGTGTTTGGGTATATTTGTAGATTTTTGGCTCCAGAAAATGTAAATGCACTCATGTTGTCTGAATTAGTAGCTCTTAGCTTGCAGGAGTCTGGGTGCTCAGTTGATATTAGTTGGTACGTATCAACGTTAACACCAAATGCATGTTCGCTTGTTCTGTATATTGTATCATTTGACTTATTTTTAAAAATTAGAATCCGTTTTAAATTCGATTATTATATTGCTATTTGCGACCTAGAGAACGGGACTTGTTTTTCTTTTTCTTGCTTTGCGTATATGACTATAGATGTTCCAACACCAAAGCACACCAAAGTATATTTCTCTTTTACTTTAAACTAACCTTACGGTAACATTTGCTTCTCGCCAAAGAAAATTACGCAGCTGTTAATGATGTATTTTTTCACTTTTTCAGAGTAAATTAGTAAAATTTATTACAAATAATTGTTATAAAAAAATAATGCTTGACATTCATTTCATAAAATGCAGAAATAAATTTAGATAAATTTACATTAATTATGGATCGCTGTCATGAAAAGTTTCTCTTATGTACTACCAGTGTTATTTCAAATGAAAATAAAAAGCAAATAATAATGATTTTCGTATAAAAAAAATAATTAAGTTGTTCGAATTCTTGATATAACTTTTTAAATTTTCATATCACTTATTTTAAAGTAATCAAACTAATGACAAGATTAAAATTGCCCACAATTATAAAATATCAATGGCAAATTGACACTTAAAAAGGAAATTAGAAATGTAATTAAATTAAACATAAAATAAAATACTAGTAAAGACTAAAGAGAGAACTAACTTAAAATCAAACAAGCCCAAAGAAGCTCAACTATAAAAATGGCCACCATTTGAACATCGTCGCCTTCATTTATTGTAATCAAAATTGTGCTCGGGGTGGGGGTGTAGAATTGTCACAATAAAAGAGGGGAAACACTGTAGCTACATGCTTCTAAACAACGACATTGGCGTCCTCGGGGATCACCGTTAAAGTCACCAATTTATCGCCCTTTCTTTTTACTACTACCTTTATCGGTACCCCAACTTTGTCCTCCAATATTTCACTAACCTGCCATAATAAACCATAGTTGTGTATTGATCACCAAATCTTCTTACCTCAACAACAATATCAGAATATAAATTAAAACAACAATATCAGAATATAAATTAAAATAACTATATATATATATATATATATATATGTATATATATAAATAATAAGTTACTACCTCCTCTAATCTTTCGACAGGCTTCCCATCAAATTCAATGACAAGATCATCAGGACAGAATCCAGCACGCTCTCCAGGGGACCTAGGAGTTACCTAGACAAAAACATTGAAGTTCCCTTGAGATAAATAGGTGATTTCAAGTATTTTAGTGCTTGTCTAGCATTGATGAGTGCAAAGCATATACTAACCCAGAAAAGAAACGACTACATAATATGTAAAACTACATCACAATCAAAATTAGAAGAAAATCAATTCACAAGGCGAATTACATATTTATCATAATATTGTCTCATAAGAAAGTGAAAGAAGTATGATTTTGTTGTCACTCCATCCTTTACGTATTAAGGTTCTAAGAACCTGATGGCCTTGTCGTTTTAGTGTCTCAGGTTTTCTAGTTTAACAGGATAAAATCTAATTATCATTCACAAATACTTAATTCCATCCAACATTTCTCTCAACATCCATCCCTCATTTAAAGCCCTAAAATACATACAAGTAACAACCTTGTGTAGTGTGATAGTTATTAGTAAAGTAGCCCTAATTTTAGCCCATAGTTCACTCCAAAAAGACACCAACCAGCTTTGCCAACAAAAAAAGTGCCTTTGTTTCAAGAAACGGATTGCATTCCTCCTAACCGCACAACATTCATCCCATTGAAAAATTAAACACACAAGAATCCGAAGGAGCACATAAAGTAATATATCCTAAATGGAGTTAGCAACATACCATTGCTACAAGAATGCCCTTAGTGACATTAGGAAATGAAGCATCTTGCTTCTTAAGCTGCGCAATAATCATCTCATTGAGATCAAGCATCTTTACCCCAAGCCAAGGCCGCATTACTCTCCTATAGAAACGTTAAATAATGCTTATTGATTTTATCCGCAATATGCAATAGCTCAACTCGACTACACATTAATGATTTTCAAAAAAATATATTTAAATCCATATTTGTTTATGGAATATCAATTTTAAAAATATGACAAAAGGTAAAAATTTTCCATGTAATTTAACTTTCTTATGTGAAGAGTAAAACATCCTTCTGAAAGACACTCAACACAAATCAAATGCTAACAATATTTTACAACAAATAACTTCGTACTTTCCAATGCCTATGCAATAAAATACAAAACATACCCACTTTTCTTGAAATCCTCTAAAATTTTACGCACAGAATCAATTGGCACAGAAAAACCCAGCCCAGCAGCAGCCGCCACTTTCATCATGTTCACCCCAATAATTTCTCCATCCATGTTGACGACAGGCCCTCCAGAATTTTCCTATACCACAGAATCAGATAAAAACATACAACCAGACTGAACAGACATTCATGTTAATATTTAGTCATCACACCACATACACATCTAGTTGGATAGGTGGGTAAATCAAGGAGAGAAAAAGAGGAAGACATACCATAATAATCTTACAACTGGTTTCTAAATACCCTCTCGGCATGCCACTGAAACCCAAATCACTACTTTTGCGATCAACACAACTACCAGAGAAATCATACAAAAAATTAATTTCATTAGTCCAAAAAAAAATCAGGAATCTCTTACAATAAAACATCATAAGCTTAGTCAATTAATATGATAAAGCCCAAAACAACCATATAGCTTTAGCTTCCAAATTCTGCTAAATGACATAACCTAAAACAAAACAAAAATAGCTTAACGTAAGGACACAACTGTTGTCGCCTGAAGTTTTTCTTCACACCTTAGAATTCCAGCAGTGACAGTGACAGTATTCTGAGGAGAAAGTGGACCGCCTAAGGCTATAACCCATTCTCCAGGACGTAGCCTACTTGACGAACCAAGTTTAGCTTCTGGCAGTGGAGTTTCAGAATTGATCTTCAGAATAACAATATCTGAATGCAGGTCAGCATTCACCACTTTCCCCTCAAATGTTCTTCCATCTTGCAAAGTGACTTCAATCTGTAATATAGTTGATACACTAAGATCAACCATCAATTGAACTTATAAAACCCAGAAATGAGTGTCCAAACTCCTGAGTCATGATTATTTATATACATATACATGCCTGCTGTATCCGTGGAGCCTAAAACTTACGAGAATGGAAAAATAATGTTCCATATATGCGCAAGTTTGCATACGAATAATCTAAATTGATCTAAAGGTAGAAGTATTTTAATAACAGATTTACACGTTCAAGTTAAGAATATCAAGAACCAATAATTCAGCCAAGCAACTACAGCCTACAATCTAAATGCATTATACTTGAGTAATAAATCATTATGTATTTCATGTCATTGCCTGATGTGTTTGTGCAATACCAAGTTAGTGCAAATAAATGATGGAATTATATTTCCATTCACTTGTGTAGGCAATAAAAAAACTAAGTGAGCTACAATTTAACCATGACATAGAAATTTGTGCCATCCAAAGCCACAAGAGCATGCAAGTGCTGTAATCCTGTATTCTAGCTTGAAGCTAGTTTTACTGGATATGTGTTTGAAAATATTCAACATAGACAGGATATCACATTTGCATCATAGAATGCAATAACAAACCTTCCCTTTGGGGAATCCTCTTGTGCCAAGAAAATCAACCACAACATGAGCAGATGTCAAGATTGTTCCATCCTTGTTGATGATTGTTCCCGAACCTATACTCCTTCCGCCAGCAATACCAAAGAAATCTGCACGGTAGATGGCTACTCCTCGGATTCAATTCGAAGGAGATAATTCAAATGTTCAAGGTTGAAAGATGCCAAAACAGATATACCTTGTTGAACTGCAATATTAACAACAGAAGGCCCAACTTTAGCAGCTGCATTTGCAATAGTATCTCTACCAAAATAATTATTTGGCTTGGACTTATCACCAACAGCCCCATAATCTTCTTTAGATACATCAGATGAAGAATTGGGACTGGCTCTATACGAATGCAGCGCAAGAATTCCTACATGTATTCAGCTATATATGTAATACAGATATCTTCACAAATTTGTACACATACCAAATTCAAACACGAAAAGCAAACACGAAAAGTAAGGACAGACCAGATTTATTGGAAAAGGGTAAACTTTGAGGCGACAAATCAAACCGCACTGGACATGTCAACCACAGGGAATCCAGTAATGGCTCGGGGACTCGAACTGCCACCGAAATTCCTAAATTTGATGTTGAAGCCACATTAGCAGAACATCAATGTTACGTCCAACTAAAAATTAAGTGGGCAAGAAAACTCTCTTCTGCACTAATGCTCCATAATTTAGAAAGATCATAAAGAAATAAAAAGTTAGGCGCTCACTGAAACGATCATGGTCATTGCAGTACAAGAGAGTAGAACCAGCACCCGCCACAGTTCTGAAACGCCCAAACCTTGTCTGCCACAGGATCCATCTCCCAGTCAGAAATTTCAACTTATCAATCAGATACATACAAAATACAAAGAGTAGTACTCATACCAGAATCCAACTCATGACTAGCAACTCGTACACACTAATTTACCAGGGTGATGATACTTTCTCAACCCACTGACCTACAAGAGGATTGTTTATAGAAGTTCTATAAAAATTGGACGTCAAATATCATTTCTTAATTTACCACAACATTACTAGATACAGTGAAATACAGGCCCCAACTCACGCGAAGGCCCAAAAGCCCATGGCCCAACAATAGCGACATCATATTCCCGTTCCACCTTTAACATTTTCCCCTTGGTTACTTTCAGTTAAAGAATTAAATAACTGTTCAAAACAAACTCAGGTTATACTGTTGGAAATATCACTATATTTCTATTTTCAAGCAAGTCCTTCAGAAACTGGGTTATACTAGCAAGTTTTTCAGAAACTGAAAGAACAGTATTTTTGTGGTTAGCTTTTATTAGTCAAATATTTTCTTTTTATAGTTTCTCAAAACGATTTTATAAATATATTATTATATCTTAAAAATAGAAAAGAGGTAAAGTAGTTATATATATATAAATATACTTTATAAAAACATATATGAAAATAAGGATTGGGTTTTTTTTCTGGAAAAAAATAAGAAATTTTTTTCATCATTTTTATTTTTCTGGATAACGAAAATCTGCAATTTCTCCCACTAGGGCACGAGCTCCCACGAATACAATCGATTGCATCTTGGCCGTGCCAGAATTTCACTTTCAGGGCAGTGTTATTCTGTCTTGATTTTTCTGTTTTGCTAATATATGCAACCCCAAATTCAGATTAAATCTTTAAATTATACTTGATTTTAAAAATTGTCGATCCACGTTAATACAATTTTAATAACTGAGATGAGCAATTGAAGTTTAACCGCACTTGCTCATAGAAAAACTAAGAATAGAATACCTTAAAAAAAAAGGTAATGAAAAATATTCAGATAACTGAACTGCATCTTCCATGTATGATTTACCAAAGCACTACATCTAACATCATAGTCATATTCAGCCATGGAAAAGGTGACCTAAACAGTCAAAGACTGACTGAACTAAACTAAACTAATAGGGTACCAGTTTCCTTCATATTCTTTGCACAACCGTAACTAGCTTCCAGGTAGCTCTTTCGCCCCGCCATTCCTTCTTCAGGAAGAGAGTCAGGCCTTTACCTTCTTCTCTTACTTGCTTGTACCTGACTGCCGGATACTGTTCCTGTCCTGATTTACGGATTTCTCTTATATGAATGCACGAGCATTCCAAGGTGGTTACTTATTTGTTAGAGTAAGGACCAACTGTTACTCCGCATTCATTAGCTCTTAAGCCAGTCCATCTATCCAAAGAGCCTACCCACTACGCCTCCTTATAATAGATGAAGCTCCAGCTGCGCTTTGCTGATTTCTTTCTCTATCCTTGAATCGCCCTTACCCGTTCGTTCGCCATTAAGGTGCTCACTCGTTAAGCTAGGTGGTGCTATTATGGCGGGGGAAGGGTCTACTTCTGCTCCATCGGAATGCTTTTGGTGGCAGGTCTTTCTATTACCGATATGGACCTCAGGGTCTCATTCTGTACCTAGGTAAACGATCTATATAACTAAGGTAAGTATATCTATGAATCTGCTGCGTCTTTTATCTCTGGTGTTGGATCACCTACTCACTACTGCGCTGCGACAAGGACTGGAACTGCCTCCGCGTTTGGACCTTTGATTAATTAACATCTCTTTTGTTTATTTACCTCCTATTTCTTTGTTTTTAATCCTAATCCACAGGAGGTCAAATTCAGACTTTAGACTGCTGTTCAATTATTTCAGTGTCATTCTCGATCTAACAAGAATGGAATCACGCTCTGTAGGATTTGAACCTACGACATCGGGTTTTGGAGACCCGCGTTCTACCAAACTGAACTAAGAGCGCTTTATTTTCATAAAGAATTTTATGTGACCCCAATACATCTTGCATGCATAATCGAATCTATATAATAGCCCTTCCTTGGCATAGAAGCTGTGAAAGAATAGGCTGCTGGAGGAAGAACCGCCCAAAAGCGGGAGAGAAGCGGAACGGGCAAGTCAGCCAGAGCAACTTTGAGGGAAGCCAGCTCCTCATCTGACTTTGTTTGAAGGTCGGTGTCGAGGAATGGCATGGTCTCCGGGAGAAAGAAAGCCAAAGGAGCGAAAAGCACACCATCCTAGGTAAGCAGCATCTTTGAAGTGGCATCTCACTCAATATACGCAATTCTCAGATCTGTCTTTTCCGGCCGATTCCATGCCACTCTACTTTGGACCCTCTTGCAGGAGCTCGGACTGAGTCTAGTTTAGGTCCATCCGAGGGTTTGGACGTCACTTCTTCACTTTTCTGCTTTTTGGATGGGTGCTCTCCCCCGAGTGAAGGCATAAGCCGTAGACAGTCACTAGTTTGATCGCTATGCCATTCTCGGCAACGATGTGGTGATAGCTGATCGACGAGTTGCTTCGGTCTACCTTGTTGAATCATCTACATTGATTGAGGATTCGATGTCAGAATGCATTCTTCGATACCCTGTTGTAGAAGTTTTCATCTAGTTCCTGTAGCTAGTCGTAGATGCATATTATAGCTGCTATCGGATCAGAGGTTCGGGGGATTTTTCACTTTGTTATTTAAAAATAGATATTCATTTCATTCCTGTTGGATCTCTTGCTTTCAAGTTCTCTTAGTTTCTATGTAACTCAATCAGGACGTAGATGTAGATACGGATAGGGGTCAACCGGGTAACCAATCCCGGTGGCTGGATGACTCCTTCACCCTTAGATCGCAAGACTAAGGCAAACGAGGCGGAACCTCGGTGGCGTGATAGGCTGGTTCTCACCAGGGTCAGTCCTATCACAAAATTGGAGTTTCTAACCTCACTCTGCTTGGTAAGGCAGAGCCCTATGTGAGTCACATAGGCACCCCCGGTTTCTTAGTGAAACTCATCAAGGTGAGGGTGGGCTAGCTTATAGCTATTCTATCACTCAGGGATCCAGAATGGAGCAACTGGGGTGACGCGGAAGCCACCCGGGTGGGGCTGGTAAGATATGATATCAAGCGGTCTAGAATAGAATCGAAAGCTCAAAAGGGAAGTGAAGGATCAGTTCCTCCCATGCAATGTGGCATGGCTCGCTCGTGACTCATTGAGGAAGGGACACGGTTCGAGATTATGTGAAGGACCCTAATGCTTAACATAAATAAGAGGACAAAGTCTTCCACTTAATTTCCGAGTCATGCCCTCAGGGTGGTCGTAGATCACGGGTCTCACTGTTAGCTAAGGCGGTCCCACTCGTGTCTGTTTTGAATTCATGTTTTTCAGTCTGAGCTGTAGTAGACCCTTATCTGATAGTATGAGTTGATAGTAGAAGGCTGTCTCCTCTAGGTATCGGATCGACGAAGACCCGACAGCTGTTCACAGGTACCCCTTACTCCACTCCAAGTAAGGGTTCTTTCCTGCATGCACCCCCATCTACATCCAACCGTAACAAGGATCCTAGGCTTCCACTATCCGCACAATCCTATTGAGCCTACACTACAGTAAGAAGTTGGCTTCTTCTATTGGAATGAAAGGCGGTAACGTCCTAGAGGTAGATGTTATATCTTAACTTTGATCGTAACCTTGCTTAAAGTCACTAGTCTTACTAAAAAGAAGGAACTCCGAGTGAAGAAGAAGCTGTTACAGAAGCCACAGCTAGTTTTCTTTAAGCAGAAAAAGGCCAGCCAGTTTTTGCTGTTGTCAGGTTTGAAAGAACCGCAGCGATTGGCGACGAAAAGGCGAAACTCCCAGCTCTCCGTAAACAGCCCTTATACCCGCCCTAAACTCAATATCAACAAAAGAAAGAAGAATAAAATGACACTAGCTAAGCGGGAAGAGCTAGCCTTAAGCCTTAGTGAAAGGGGTTAACTAAGATCTCTTCCTTCTTCCCACGGACTGACTAAAGCACAAAGACCTACAGCTCTTCCGGCAACCGATGAAATGGCAGCTAGTTCCAGGGAAGTCAATAGAAGTTGGATTGCCTAGTTTTGAGTTCTATTTGAACTAGTTTCCAAGGCTTGATTGCTTCTGGGCTTGGGCTAACTTTAATCTTTCTATTTAGCCCGGTTCTTATATAAATATAAATAAGGTTCCTAACCAGACCCCGTGTACGGATAGAGAAGGAAAGTCTATTTTTCCAAGAGTCTAGCTAACTCTAACCCGGGATCAATCGTGAAGAGGTCTTTCTTTCTTCTTATCTTAAGTAGAAGATTCGGATAGTGATAAGTACCCCTCTCGCCACTATTTCGATATAGATCCAATTTAATGGAAGGAAAGGCACGAAACAGCTTAACTTGCTTGCAGGCAAGAATAAAGAGCTGGTGGAAGGTGCAGATGAAGAAGCTGCTAGTCTTTTTAACCACAGACGCTCTTGAGTCAATATCAGCTGTGGTCCTATCAGCTCAACCAGTTGCCGGTCTTGTTTGCGTAGTAAATGGTTTTGGCGGAAGAAGGTCTTTGAGAAGGAGCTACATGTGTTCTTGTTCGAGAATCCGCATCCCGTCGAATCAGCTGTGAGGGTGAAAAGGGCTTACGACGAATAGGCTCTTTGATGGGGCATTACTGGGTCACTATAAATATCATACATAAGAGAAGAAAAAGGGTAAGTAAAAGAAAGGCATTGCGTCCTTATCTCATTCTTCTATTACCGGTGGTGAGAGTTACTTCCTTCTAGAACTGGCTGATGAACGAGTTGCATTACCAATTTACTTCTATAGAAAGCAAAGCAATGTAACCTAATTTATATTTTCAGGTTTATCTTTACTTCACACACTTACTTTGATGGAATTGGTTGTTGGATTTCTTTCTATTAGAAGTACAACTCGATCAAGTAGGAACGGAAGGAATTAGGCTGGGGATACCCCAAAAGAAAGCAGGTAAAGGTACGGTTACCCCATCAGATCAGTACCAGTGACACAAAGCTTACTTCTTATTATTTTATTAATATTAACTTGCTTCTACTTCTGGGACAGGCTGCTAAGCCAGTTAGCTATTCATTTCGGTGTCAAACAAAAGAAATAGGCATGGCATCCTCTAGCTCAGCCAGTAAAGGAAGCAATTCAGTGGAAGAAAGGAACTACCCCACCATATGGTATGGTAAGCACCAAGCTTCAACTAACCTAAAACTATGTATATAGCCTCCAAAAAAAGAAAAAAACAAAACTACCGAAAAGGAAAAGGGATCTAACAATAAGATTTACAAAACATAACATTTATTTCTTCTTAGGAGACTTAGGAGTAGATGGTTTGTCAGAATCGGCACTGGTAGCTTTCTTAGGCAACATAATCGGGTTAATATTCGGCAACACTCCACCGCTAGCAATCGTTACACCCTGAAGCAGTTTACCCAATTTATCATCATTCCGCACAGCGAGAAATACGTGCCTAGGGTTAATCCTGTTCTTCTTGTTGTCACGTGCGGCGTTCCCAGCCAACTCCAACACCTGCATTGTACAATCCACGTTAAAATTGTTCTTTAATTAACTAATTAATTTTAATAACGAGGTGAAGAAGAACTATTGGATATTTACCTCGGCGGCGAGGTATTCGAGTACGGCGGCGAGATAGATTGGAGCGCCGGTGCCTAAACAGCGGGAGTAACGGCCTTTCTTCAAGTACCTGGCGACGCGGCCGACGGGGAAGTCTTAGTTTCAACGTGGAGGAATGGAATAATGACTTACTAGTGACTACTACGTCTTCAACCAATGGTTTAATTAGTTTTTTTGAAATGTGCTGATATTGCTGACACGAACATAGCAATAATCTTATCAATTTATTGGAAAATTTGCTATTTCAGGCTAGTGTAGGACCTTGTAACGTCCCAGAACCCAGTACATGGAAAATTGTGGAGCATAGCAAATGGGCCAGGTTTGTTTGCTTCGAACACGCTTGCTGCTTTCCACTTTCTGTATGCTGTTGCTGTACATCTCCTTGACATCATTCTTCCATATGTATCATTACGGTTTTACCATGCTTGTCTTTGCATTTTTTGTACATATTTTGTCATGAATTCTGCACTGTCTTTTATCAATGTTATTTTGCAGTGGTATTATGCTTGCATTATGCACTATTGCATTCCTAATCTCATTTATTGGAGAATATTATTAAAAGTAGTAATTATTGATGCAGTTGGAACCAGCTTGGATCCATGTCTTCTGCTGAAGCCATGCGCCTTTTTCTGAAAATATTGGAGGTCATGCAAATAATTTTCATAATCATTCTTCCTTCGTATATTGAAGACTGTTAGCTGATTACCTTTTTTTTTTAATTTTGTTTGTGTAGGAAGAAGATCCTGGTTGGGATTCAAGAGCATCTAACTCTGTTGTAGAACCTGTCATAGACGTGCAAATGAATGTGAGTGTTATTAAGGCTATAAGCTCTATAAAATATGGAATCCTGTTCGTGCTATGGTGTTTTTCTCAAATGGTATTCATAAGTTTTGAGTAGTAGTTATGCTGTTGGCTTGCAGTAAACTTTAATTGTTATATGCTTATATATTCATCTATTATAACTTTATAGAGTAAGCACCAAGTGATCGGCACGTGGTCTGTATTCAAGTGGTCAAATAATTTTATAAAAAGAAGTTCTTTGGCAAATAAAATTTGGGGTATTTTATAATTGCAATGATGTGTACCACCTTTCACCCTGGTAGGATCCAAAATAATAGACAATGGAAATAAGGCGAGGTTTTGTTAATAAAGAAAATAAAAGAAGAACAATCTCAGCTCAGATGTTTCCAAGAGCTCAACTCTTTACGGAGGAGAAGTCACTCTCCACAATGGCTCCAGCCCAAATCTAAAACCAACTACAATGATGCCCCCTTCCCATGACTACCCACCAACTATAACTAACTCGTACCTCTAACACACCACGGATTCCACCCACATAACCAACTCTGCTCTCCCAAAGTCTCTCCTTCCATCTTATTCTTCTTCTCACTGAACACATAAAACTATATATAGGCTCTTTGCATCAACTTGGCCTCCTGTTTGTTATAAACTTTTGATATATTGGGTTCTTAAGACAATTGGTCAATGGGGCTAGTATTCAGGTTCCTATCACACCCAACAGACATTCACATAATTCATTGGAGTCAGTGCTCAAGTCATATACAGGATTCCATGATTTTGCATTTAGGATTTGATAGTTAGGTTTAGAACTTAGATTAATGTAAGAGATTAATGTAAGAGGCATGTCAACTTAGGTTGTGTCAAGCTGTCAATAGCATTGCAATGAGGGACCTTCCTCTATATTCTTATCTACTCTTGTTTCCACTGGCAAAGTAGTGATTTTTTTTTTTCCTGTTTTCTAATTCCATCTTGCTGGTTTGACAGCATAATTCCAAAGTTGAACCAGTAATTGAGAATGGAAACTCTTATCCAGAGACAAAGACTATTTCCAATCAAAATGGAAGTGAAGTTGGAACACAGGATAAAGATATTGTTGTGGAAGGCTTTGGTTCAGTTGGAGTTTACGATCAATGGACTGCACCTCCAGTATCTGGACAACGTCCCAAAGCCCGATATGAGGTACTGGCTCCTGTGAAATATGGAAATTATGAATTTCCATACTGAACTAGTTTTTTTATTTTCTGCATTATGAGTTCAATCTCTAATCTCTATTGGTTTTCCCTCCCTAAGTCTAATTTGTTTATATGTTCAGCATGGAGCTGCAATTGTACAAGACAAATTGTACATATATGGTGGAAAACATAATGGTCGTTACCTTAATGATCTTCATGTAAGCATACCTTCAATATACATGTTCCATGAAGCCATACATTTTGACTAAGTTACAATTTATCTTGTGAGGTTGATTGAAAGCACCAATTTTGGCTAGGACGATATATATCTTCTGTTTTGACTGAAAGGCTTGTTGTTATCTGTTTCTCAGGTTGATTAAATTATGTTTTGTTTACTTTGATATATATGGAAATAAATACAGGTTTTGGATTTGAGAAGTTGGACTTGGTCAAAGATTGAGGCTATGGCTGGAGATGAGTCCCCAACAACTTCAATTCCTTGTGCTGGCCATTCTTTGGTTTGTATTGAACATAAAACTGCATAATCTATGCTGTGTTCAATCTGCTTGTAGTGTGCTGCTAGTATTAATTCTGGAATTTTGTGGGGTTTGGTGATGGAACATTTTTCAATTACAGATTCCATGGGGAAATAAGCTTCTGTCTGTTGCAGGGCATGCAAAAGATCCTTGTGAAAGTATCCAAGGTATAACAATAATAATGTTATAACATGTTACCTTGAATTTGGATTGGATCTAAACTCAACCCCAGAATCTAGCTTATAAGATGAGGATTTACAAGCCTTTATATAAACTCTATTTTAGCCATATCTATTGTCGATATGAGATCTCAGCATGTTATCATTCAGAGCATGAAAAAGGTCAGAAGTTTCATTAAGATATATATTTATTTTTTGGATAGGCCAAGAAACTTCATTTACTCAAATTTTGGTAACAGTGATAAACATAAATAATACATGCTTACTCAAATTGTGTCCTCTATTCAGTAAACTAAAGCATGATACTGTCACTTCATTTACTTTTATAGAAAAAACCAATCAAAATTGCTGGTAGTGATAAATATTTTGTGCATGTTTAAGTTAAATATTTAGGCTACATATATTTCTTAGTAATTATTTTTTTTACCTTAAAATATTTACCGAGATGAACATAAAACTTCGTTAACACTTTTTCTTAGTTCATTGATTTGATTCATGACTGTTAACTATGTCCCCCTTCAGTGTCTATTTGTGACTCTTGTTCAACTCCTATTTTTGTTGTTTTATAAAACTAAGCATCGGTATTACTATCGTATATTGTGCCAGTGAAAGTGCTTGATCTTCAAACTGCTACATGGTCAACTCTAAAGACTTTTGGGAAAGCTCCGGTATGTATCTGTTGTTAGTTTATGTTTATTACTCCAAAAATCCTAGAAATTATATATTATCACAGTAGAAGTGTGTGGCATGTCACATTTGTACTATTTAACAACAGATGCATAGGTTTTATGATTTTTAAACACAGTACAGTAGTTCCCCCTCTCTTTTTCTTTTCTTATTCTTTTATTTTTTGAAATAAAAGTACATTAAACTTTAGTTCCCTTCAACCAATCATATATACTTTCTAGGTATCACGTGGAGGTCAATCAGTGACCCTTGTAGGGGGAACCTTGGTAGTTTTTGGTGGGCAAGATGCAAAGAGGACTCTTTTGAATGATCTGCATATTCTTGACTTGGAAACCATGACATGGGATGAAATTGATGCTGTGTAAGTAGTTTTTCTGAAGTACTCCTTTGTATCTAATTTTACCTTTCTATGGGGATGAGACGGTTATATGGTTGGGGGGAATGTCACTGAAAACGATAAAACTTGTCATAAAAATTTGTTCGGTGGTCATCTTCTGTTTATGCCATGATTGAGGTATGATACATTGTAAATTATGTTACTCATTCTTGTTAGTTATGAATATGTGTTGTTTTTATTTTCCCATGCTAATTTAAAGTGAAAAGAAAGATGAACAAATAACATCTATGTTTGGTGCTAACTAAATCATAACTGGCAGTGGGGTGCCGCCTTCTCCAAGGTCCGATCATACTGCTGCTGTTCATGTGGACCGATACTTACTTATCTTCGGTGGGGGTTCACATGCAACATGCTACAATGATTTACATGTTCTTGATTTTCAAACTGTAAGGCAATTGCTTGTTTTGTTAGATGGTGGACTGGGAAATCATGTCCATGTAATAATTTGTGTGAACTCTACAGATGGAATGGTCTCACCCGACACAGCTGGGTGAAATACCAACACCACGTGCTGGACATGCTGGTGTGACAGTGGGGGAGAACTGGTTCATTGTTGGTGGTGGTGACAACAAGAGTGGTATGCCTTTTTGCCACTTAGAATTGTATTTTCTGCATGAAGGAATAATTTTTCACTCTACATGATATTGCTTGATATCTGGAACAAATATTATTTGAACTCTACGAGAGTACAAGTTTATGATATGGGTCAAAGTAAACTAAAGGAATTATATTTTGACACTGTTAAGAAGTACATTGGTTTATTCTACTTTCAATTATATATAAAATGTTTAATTACACATTGGTTTCTTTACCTGCGCAATCTGAACAGATTAGTCTCTATACCTAGAAACTACTTGTGTTTAGACTTTATGCATAAACTTTTTAACCCATTTTTGTCTTTATATACACATCTTTTAATTTGTTTTAGTCTCTAAAATTTTGGGTGGCATGGACTAAAACAAATTAAAATATGTAAGTGTACGGATTAAATAAGAGTAGTTTTTAGGTTTACAAACTAAAATGCAAAGGTTGTGCAAGTATAGAAACCAAATGAATAATTAAACCTATATAAAAATTATATAATAAATTATTAATTTTCAAAAAATAAGAAATTCTTGTATGCACACATCCATAAGAAATTCTTGCATGCACACCCATAAATGTTTGTAAAGAGGTATGTCATTCCCATATCCAATATTCTAAAATGGGATAAAAGCAAACTTACCTTTAATGGTTCAGTTCATAGCTAATTTCTAGTTGATATTTGACATTATTTTGACATCTGGTGGTACTTTTGTTCAAGAAAACACTGTTTTCTAAAAAAAGAATTATTGGACTTGCACCATTAACGTGAAAGGTTAAAAGTTCATAAAGGTTGTTAGCCCCTAGAATTATTATTACCCACTTTTTTATTTGTCTTTTAAAAATAGACCTTTTAATCTTTAGCTCCTGTTACCCAACTGCTTTGTTGTCTAAAAAATGGCTACCTCAACATGCCACATCGCTTTATATTAGTTTCTATTTTAGTGTTGCTAAATATACTCTGTTTCTAACATGTTTGGGGGTGTTCACTGATAATGTTAATATTGCTCGAGTGTGAAATTGTTAAAATAATATAAAAGGCATGGCTTTCTGTGTAAATACATTTTTAGTAAGGACAATTACATCAATTACATTCAAAATGCTTTTGGGTATTAAAGAAGTTGCTCCTTCAGAATGCTTTCTGCGAGATAATTTGCTATAGTTTTTCCGCCCTATTCTTTGGTTGTTAAAGTACTTTGAAGATAGGGTAACAAATGAATTTGTGGCACTGAAAGGACAGTACATGAGTGTAAAAGCTTTGATTAATCATGCAATGGTGCAATGACAGAATTGCTTATTTATAGGAAATTTAATATGCCGTTTCATTGTGAAAGAAAGTTAATGAAACAAAGTTAATAGATACAGAGGCGAGCCAGATTGAAAATAAAGGGGGGGCAGTACATTTTTTTTAAAGCAAAAAAACCTTAAAAAATTTATGTATATATAATTTTAGAAGTAAAATAAAAATTTTCAGGGTGACCATGGCATCCTCATGCAACACCTTGGCTCCGCCACTGTATTGAAGAAAAGAAAGCTTTGCCATTTTATTGGGTTCACTGTAAACAGTAATAACTTCTAGGCTGGTGGTTATTATATATCTATATGGTTTAGTTGGTTACCTGTGTTGTAAATTTGCTGATTATTTTGGACTTCAGGACATTTGTGGTTCAGTCTTGTTTCAGTAGATATCCCTTTTACTACTTATATATTCCATGTTATTTTGCAGGGGTCTCTGAAACAGTTGTACTGAATATGTCAACACTGGCTTGGTCAGTGGTAACTTCTGTTCAAGGACGAGTTCCTGTTGCTAGTGAGATACTTTATCTATGAATTTTAACAATATTGCATGTGATACAAAATCTAACAAGAGTATTGATCCTTGTTAACCGTATGCTGTACTGTAATAAGGTTATGTTAGTGCCATCAGATTAAGATAATTAAAATGTTTCCAATTGCAGGGTTTGAGTTTGGTTGTAAGCTCCTATAATGGCGAAGATGTACTTATTTCTTTTGGAGGGTACGATGGACGTTACAACAACGAAGTAAAAATTATTTCAAAATTTTAGTCTGTTTCTGCTCTCCTTTGCCTTTAATTTTATATTTTTTTCCTCATCTGATTTGGTTTCTGCATTTAGGTCTATGTTCTTAAACCAAGCCACAAATCCACCCTGCAATCCAAAATAATTGAAAATATAGTACCTGACAGTGTTTCAGCTATCCCAAATGCCACAAACGCTACCCGAGATGTGGAGTCTGAATTTGAAGCAGGTCAAGGGAAAAATTGGGAAGTTCTCTTGGACAATGCTGATGCAGCAGTATGTATTACTGCAAAGGATTTACATTATTTCTTTCTGGTTTTATGAATTTTCTTGTTCCTGCATTCATTTTTCTTTGAAATTTTAGTTGTGGTGCTTTATTTTACAAAAAGTATTATCTTGTGAATTTGATTTAACAAGATATCTATCTATAAACTGGTTGCATGTTTTTGGCTCACAATCCAAGATCTTAAAACTCGTCATATTCTTCTATTTTGATATCTTCTATTACCTTGCACAGAATCTAGACTCTATTAAAGGTTTTCTTTGCAAAAATCTGCTTGTTTAATTGGCCAAATTCAATTGGACGTACCTTTCAATTGGCTTTTCACGGCACCAAAATTTCTCCGTTTACGGACTTCTATCATCATCCTAAAGCTTTGAATCAATCACTTCCCTGTCCTACCTTAAATAAACCTTTAACCCAACTCAACCCATGTAGTTCCTTAGCCTTGCATTTGTCATAAAACCATGACTCTAGCCAACTAAATTATTAATCCATTAGTTTCTCTGTCACTTCGAATATCAGAAAATAACAACACAGTCTGCCCATGTTATTGCCGGAGAGTGATTTTTTCTTATTGCCGACTTAATAATGAAGTAAATATGAGTTGGGAGCTCAAAGCATTCTCCAAAGTCCAAACAACAGTAATGCATTAATGCATGCAATTGTATATATCCTCTTTCCCTCCTCAAGTAGCTCGGCTTGAAAATTATGCTCATTCTCAGATTATTTGTCTGAATTGTTTAGGCCTCCTCCATGCTGTGGTACCCTCATATCTCATGATTTAATGCACTTAGCGTCCTTCACTTATTCCTGTCTAGTTCATGCCGAAGGCCCTCATTTATATCGCTTAAAAAACAGATCATATTCTGAATTTGTACCATTTTATTTTATTTTTCCTGCCAGTCACTGCTTTCATATTTTGGCTGTCGTACAGAAATCCAAAGGTGATATTATATCAGTCCTGAAGGCTGAGAAAGAAGAGTTGGAATCATCACTCAGCAAGGAGAAGCAGCATGCTCTTCAACTGAAGCAAGAGCTGGCAGAAGCTGAGTCTCGAAATTCCGACCTTTACAAGGTAAACCACCTTTAATTGTTGAAGTTACTTTCTAATTTGTCATAATATTATCTCATAAGAAAGTCATAAGGCAAATTACATATTTGTCATAATATTGTCTCATAAGAAAGTGGAAGAAGTATGATTTTGTTGTCACTCCATCCTTTACGTATTAACGTACTAAGAACTTGATGGCTTTGTCGTTTTAGTGTCTGGTTTTCTAGTTTAATTAGTTTAACAGGGTAAAATCTAATTATCATTCACAAATACTTAATTCCACTCAACCTTTCTTTCAACATCCATCCCTCATTTGAAGTCCTAAAATACATACAAGTAATAACCTTGTGCAATGTAATAGTTATTAGTAAAGTAACCCTAATATGGATAGCCGATAGTTCACTTCAAGAAGACATCAACCAGCTTTGCCAATAAAAAAAGTGCCTTTGTTTCAAGAAACGGATTGCATTCCCCTTAACCATACAGCATTCATCCTATTGAAAAATTAAACACACAAGAATCCGAAGGAGCACATAAAGTAATATATCCTAAATGGAGTTAGCAACATACCATTGCTACAAGAATGCCCTTAGTGACATTAGGGAATGAAGCATCTTGCTTCTTAAGTTGCGTAATAATCATCTCATTGAGATCAAGCATCTTTAGCTCAAGCCAAGGCCGCATTACTCTCTTATAGAAACATTAAATAATGCTTATTGATTTTATCCACAATATGCAATAGCTCAACTCGACTACACATTAATGATTTTCAAAAAAATATATTTAAATCCATATTTGTTTATGCCATATCAAAATATTCCACAAAGTTTTATCAAAATTATGATACATAATTTACAATGTATCATACCTCAATTATGACACTTATTTCTGGGTTTTATAAGTTCAACTGATGGTTAATTTTAATATACCAACTCGATCCACGTTAATACAATTTTAATACTGAGATGAGCAATTGAAGTTTAACCGCACTTGCTGTCAGAAAAACTAAAAATAGAATAGGTAAAAAAAAAGTAATGAAAATATTCAGATAACTGAACTGCATCTTCCATGTGAGTTACCAAAGCACTACATCTATCAGCATCGTCATATTCAGCCATGGAAAAGGTGACCTAAACAGTGAAAGACCAGATGCTATGTCACAGCGTCAAGTTCAACTAACCTAAAACTATGTATATAGTTTCCAAAAAAGAAAAAAACAAAACTACCGAAACGGAAAAGGATCTAACAATAAGATTTACAAAACATAACATTTATTTCTTCTTAGGAGACTTAGGAGTAGATGGTTTGTCAGAATCGGCACTGGTAGCTTTCTTAGGCAACAAAACCGGGTTAATATTCGGCAACACTCCACCGCTAGCAATCGTTACACCCTGAAGCAGTTTACCCAATTCATCATCATTCCTCACAGCGAGAAGTACGTGCCTAGGGTTAATCCTGTTCTTCTTGTTGTCACGTGCGGCGTTCCCAGCCAACTCCAACACCTGCATTGTACAATCCACGTTAAAATTGTTCGATTAATTAACTAATTAATTTTAATAACGAGGTGAAGAAGAACTATTGGATATTTACCTCGGCGGCGAGGTATTCGAGTACGGCGGCGAGATAGATTGGAGCGCCGGTGCCTAAACGGCGGGAGTAACGGCCTTTCTTCAAGTACCTGGCGACGCGGCCGACGGGGAATTGGAGACCGGCTTTGGTAGATTTGGAAACGGACTTCTTCCTGTCGCCTCTTCTTCCAGCGGCACCTTTGGGGGTCGCCTCCATTGATGCGTGATCCGAGATGATAGCGAACGGTTCGTTTGGAGGGAACCCGATGAAGAAGCGTTTTTTCCTTTTCTTCGAATCTTTGGAATTGTAAGCACTGAGCAAAACGAGAGGGAACGCCGAATAAATACTGCGGGTAAACGACAAATGCTGCCGATCGCGTTTGTACCCAGGGAAACATCTCGCGGCTCCGGTCGTGCCACGCTGGCGATCCGTGCCTAAAGATCCCACCTGGAGGATTTGTAGGCTGCTTTGATTTTATCATCGGACGGTTGATTGTGTTGACTTGCTGGCAATCCATGTGGTTTCGCTCGTCCGATCCGACGGTGTTGTCTTCTTGTTAGTGGCTAAGTACGGGATTAGATTGCGTGGAAGAATTATATTTTTAGTATTGTTGCATCTATAAAAAATAAAGTATAAACATGGATACTTAATATTTTAAAAAATTATAACATTTTTTGAGAAAAAGTATTAAAAATATATGTTGTATATTATATAATTGATGGACAACTAATCATCTTCTTGTGTTCGATCCCAAACATAATATTTTCGGTGACCATGATTCCAAAGCATATAAACACACAACAAGGCTTTCTACTCTACACAAATAGCGCGAGGGGGTTTCACAGACCTTTTAAGATCATTACACACGTTATCTATCATCTCCAGAAAGTCCCTAACAATCACAAAGATTTGAAGTGGATTCGACTCTTCGTTAGTCACATCCCCATGAAAATACTCAATTATTTCTTTTACACGACTCATCACTCTACCTTCATCTCCATGCAAGTCTTGTACCTTTCTTTCTGCATAATTCAGAAACCACTTCATAGAAATGACAAAGCTCTTATTTTTTTCATCTTCACACAACAACCCTCTTACTAGGTTCTGCATGTTAGCCAACCCAGTTGATAGGTTCGAGACAGAACTTGCAAGAACGCTTAAGTCAATTGTGGCGGTCTTTTTAACATTGCATAACTCAGCACTAAGATCAGAGACAAGTTTTAGTCCCATTCTTCTACAATCTTCTTCCTTCTCTTCCTCCGTTCCGTTTTCACGCTTCTGCCCCATGATGCTCTTTGAAGCTTTGGTTCCTTCTGAGCGAATTATCTCCTGAACAAAGAAATGGAGCAAGGTGGTTTTACCATCTGTTCCTTTTACATCAGCAAGCTTGAGAAGGGCATCAAGTTTGAAGGCTCTAGCACCTCCCCTGGTTGTCCCCACGTTCATGCGGTTTCCTGTTTTGAGCACTGCTTCGAGCAATTTCAAGAAGAACTTGCTTGACCTTAGTTCCTTGCACGCTTCCTGGTGTCACAAAAACCATAACGTCATAACCAAAAAAAGAAGAGTGTCAATAATGACTCTTCAACATGAACAACATATGAGGTTAAAATTTCATGAATGAGGATTTTTTATACAACATACTTGGCTACATAGTGTCATGATTTTTTATCAATTTCAAGAAAATTGCAGTGAGCTACTCTAAAAGGGTCTTAATTATTCTGTCGTTACCTCCAGCATTGTGAAAGAGTTGCTGAGGTGAGCCACTTCATCTTCGAAAGCTTCTCTGTAAAGCATTGCTTCCACTCGTTGACAGGCAAATGGTATGCTAAGCATTGCTCTCACAAACTTTTCTGCGAACCCTAGTTCATCGACTTGTCCTTTGTAGCTCAAGAGCTTATCCTCTTCTTCCTTCGTGGGTACCATTTTCACCAGTGCCTCTAGTTGTTGCAAAGACAAACCCTTCCCTGCATTTATTTTCAATATTTAATAAAATACTCCACTTAGCAACATTAGTTTTATCTTTAGCATATGGTGTAAACGTAAATGTGCATGCATGGTTGAAACTTTAGTATTCGAAGTTATTACATACTTTTTATTTTAATGTGGCCGAATGTTTATAAAATAGGATCCTTTACTTAGTATCAGGGCATCGCATACTTCTCTGGCTGTTGCATTTAGTGCTTTAGATAGTATTGCTATGTTTTGCAACCGTTTTGGCTCAAGTAGATGCTTGTTAGGAGACGGGGATTTACTCTTTGTTTCATCGTTCTTCATTGAATTTTGTAAATTGTAGCCAAAGAGTGACTCGATCATTACCCCATCCAACCTGATTAAAATTCATCATTTTCTCAAACTGTGAAACTAGAAACAGATAGAAGGCATTAATTGCTAACATGGAGAAAGAACTCACTCAAAGGAATTTGTTCGTAGCGTGTCCCATACCATTGTTCGATCCGGCGTGGCTCTTACCTTGTCCCAGTGAAGTGGTTTGAGTTTTGGCAGTTGTTTAGAAGTTGGGTTTTTTATCATACTGTTAATGTTTTCTTTCATAAAAGGAGGTGGACATGGTGGGGGAGGAATGCTAGGTTGAGAAATTCCGCTCTTCTTTTGTTCTTCATGTTTTGGAATGGATGGTGATTGGTTAGATTCTACCTTTGGAGTTGAATTATGAGAAGAACAAGGAAATTGAGTTGTTTCAGAAATTAAATTTCTAGGAGAGAGAGATAACCGTTCTGTTTCACTTATTGATGAATGTGAATCAATACATGAATGAAAACTTTCGTAATCTGATGATGAATGAGATTCTCCAGGGACAGTTTTTTCTCCAGAGGAAGCTTTGCCACCATCATATTCCAATTCCTCGTGAACAGAGAGAATTTCCTTGATGGAAGAACTTCCCGTGCTAGCATTGTTGTATGCTTCTTGATTCAACACTTCCGTCTCATAAATTGCACGCTTTAGGGAACTATGGCTTGAGGTACTTTTTTGTGTCTCACAAGTTTGTTTCAAACTAGTGATGTAAAGCAAATCAGGGTCTGAATTTCGGTACGTACCTCCTGTTCTTCCGATCTTGCTAAAAAGTGGAATTGTCCTATTGGATTTCCGTCTCTGATTTCTAAATTTCTTGCAAACACAGACACAGCCAAGTGCACAGATTAACGTAGCAACTCCACCAGATACTACAACAGCCACTAGTGTTGTTCTATTTGCGCTACCTCCATCTTCTTGTTGAATCTTGTGAAGTGGCATGTTCCTTTGTGAGTGATAGGAACGAGGGTGCACGTGCAGATCCGAATTCGGAGCCTCAGCTTCGGTTTTGGGTGACACAGAAGCTGAGAGGGACACAAAGTCAGAGTCAAAAACATTATAGCATGACCTTCTTCTGTGAAACCTGTTGAGTGACTTGAGTCCAAACAAAGTTGTGAAGTCTTCAAGTCTAGGAGTTTCCTTGTTTTCATTCTCATCCTCTCCTGAGATTTTCTTGAACTGCTTTTCATTTCCTGCTGCATGCAACGCAGCATCCACAGTCAAAATGTTGGCTCTTTGCAATGATAGGAACATCAATATGGTAATGATGAGCCTCATGTCGTGAGCATCAAAACCAAGACTCGTTATTTTCTGGCAAGCAAAAGTTCGCAAGACATCAATGTTCCTTTTCCCTCTTTAAAATCTGTTTTTCTTTTAGTTCCATTCACTTTCTGAAGGAGGGAAAACAAGACTTGTTAATTGGGTGAAGAAGATCCAGAACGATGTCTTTAATGCTACTCCAAGGAATCGCTGAGCATGGCAGTTGTTGTTGTATTTTTCCTTCTCAGGGAACTCAAAAACTCTACTCAGTTCTCACCATAATCAATTCTATCTACCCTATATGCATAACAGTAGTGTTAATGCATAAGAGTGGGAAAATCCTTTCTACTAGGCCACTGGCTTGACTTAATGCTTTTGTCTTGTTTTTAAAGGCTATTTTGTCTTGTTTTTAAAAGCTATTTTGTCATAAAGTAAATGGGAGATACTCACTAATTCTTTCGTTCGTCGTGATCAAACACCTCTCCTTTTCTTAGTGTTAAATTCAGGATCAACAAGTACAGAATCTGATAATTTGAGTCACCGTCGTTGCAGTTGGATAAAGATTTTCAGTAGTTAAAGAGTCATGTAATGCAAACGACGCAGAAGTTGACATGTTTGTTGGGCTTGGCTAACTCTCTGCTGGTGATTAAACAACATTTCTCCATCCAAACCCATTAAAGAGAAGAGATGGACCCTGTGGGGGGACCAGAGTCCTAACTTTCTGATGTGAATGTGACTATGTTTCATAGGGAAACTATTTTACATTTTGTGAGTTTTGAAACCCTCATCTTACATCTCATTTAATGATGTCATGTCACTGCCTTTGTGGGAAAGTTTTTAAAATTACTACAATTTAATTCTACGAAGTTTTTTTATCTAGTCTTCACACAGATTCATCTACTTCTAATGTAGAGATTGTAATTTATATTTAGGCTTGATGTGTTGCAATCCATGTACAAGTTATGTTGCTTGAATGCAAATTCCAATTTCCATGCATGTTGCATCTCAAAATGCTCTCTATTTTGTGCAGTTATCTAATTAAAAGACTGTTTAAAGACATGGAAAGATAGTATAACTATTATTATGCACTGTAGTTATCTTTTTTAGCATGTGTCAGTAAATGATCTGATGTTTCCATTGTCGGCAGAATAGCTCTTTAAAGCTTTCTACCCTCTTGGCAGAATTTCGATGGATGCGTTGACTATGATTAGTTTCACTGCACATTGGAGGAGTGAGGAGTTTGCAATCTTTTATTTTTATTCACTGTGTTGATGATGATGATGGTGTGTCATACTGGTTTGTTTGTAATTAGCAATGAAAACATTGTAAGGACAAACTACATAGTTTATTTTAAAGATGGATATTAACATAATCATGCAAAAACTTTTATATTAAAATAATTAGGAGAATTTTTTTAATTAAAATTTATGCTAAAATTGATGTTTCAACAATTTTGTTGTTAGTTAAGTGACATTATATATATTTTTTCTAAGTGAGAAAATTTTCAAATTAAAAAAAAAAAAAAAAAAATATATATATATATATATATATATATATATATATATATATATATATAGACATATAAAATAAGTGTTGTTGTTTTCTTTCAGTAATTTTTAACATAAAAAAAATGTGTTCAATTCCTTTAGATTTTAGAAAATTAGTTAGATCTTACGTATTTATTGCTAACAACAAATTGAGTGTAAAAAAAATAAAGAAATTTATAATGATATTAAATGTTTCATGTTTACATTACATTAGTAAAAGATGATAGGAAGAAAACATTATATAACAATAAATGAGATAGTATTTTAACTGAACCCATTCTAGTGATACGTAATTTATTATTGTTAGGCAAAATAATAAAGAATTTACCCAAGAAAGTGTGAATCTTTTTAAATAAGAAGAAAAACTTTATCTATAAAATATTTTTGCACACATCCAAAATCACATTATATTATTTGTACATACAAACTAATTGATAACTAACTACAACTAATTTTATCTGTCATTTTTAATGTTTAAAATAATATTAATTATTACTTTTATCAACTATATCCCTTATTTTTAACCTAGTTGCATTTACTTTGCCTATATATTTAATACAAAATAAAGGGAAAATAATTATTTTAAAACCTATATTAAACATGATCTCTTTTTATCATTCATTCAAGAATTATATGTAGAAACACATGATTATAAATAACTTTTCTTGATTCTAATAAAACAATCATGAAGTTTTTGCACTTATATTCTTTATTTTGTTTTATTGATAGTAAATACATGAGTTTGACTATTAAGTTAAAATTAAAGGTATAATTACAAAAATTATTATTAATAACTGCTAATATATATATATATATATATATATATATATATATATATTAAAACATTAAAAAATTTATCATCTTGAACTTTGAAATTTTCATATAAATATTTTTTATATTAACATGAGTATTAAATTATATAATATATGTATTAGTTTCATTTATAAAAATTAAATACGAATACGCATAGTTGTATATGGATCCTATGTAGTTGTACATCATATATATGGCAGGGTATACTATTACCTTTCGTCACGAAAACGTGTATTATTTATTATTCAAAAGGTGTTAGGTTTCGATTTATACCAAGAAAATAGATGCGCTCCCATAATTCGACTTTTTGCCAAATTTAAACAGGAATATAAAAAAAAATTAAACAACATAGATACAAAACTTTTTAATTAGTTTTTTTTACTGAGAAAATAAAAGTCTGTACTTCAATAATTCAAATTTGGAGCAAAAAAGAAGTAGGAATATATATAAAAGCATATTATTATTATTATTATTAGGAAGACTCTGTCTTTTTTTTGTCTTGCTACATCAATTTTGTTGCATTGATTTGTTGAAAGTTATTTAGGTTAACTTGATCCGACCGATTCATAATATTGTTCTCCACTTTGAAAGAACACATGATTATTGTGGTCAAACGCATGTTTTTGGTGTAACAACAAGATCCACAGATGAAAACGAAAAAGAAAAAAAATTAAGGTGAAATTGTGTTGCTTGTATATACATAATGCTAACATACCAACCCTTACAGAGATGTTAGCCAAGGTTTGTAAATCCTCAGTGCGTTCACCATTTTCCGTTAAAATATACGAATATATAATACAATTAATCTAAAACATTGGGTATATGAGTCAGTGATGTGTGGAAACCTAGTTCTTGTCTCTTTCCTAGCTAGACATGTGTTATGTTTATGGATGAACACATCTCAATTTGGGTTTCTCTTACGTACCCTATTTTCTGTCGTCTTCCATTTGCATTTGGACAATGTCTTTCAGGTACATATAACTCCCTTGACATTTTTTTTCCCTTGTTTTCATATATTTGATTTAATCCACTTCCATGTTTTCCTTTTTCAGTTTTCAACGCATATCCGAAGACATGTTCTTTTGAAATGGAGTTTTCTTTTTGACACTTTTGAGGAGACTAATCTAACACATGTTTTTATATTATTCTATTCCACAAAAAAAAACGAATTTGATGGCATTCCCTCGTTAAGAAAACCGTGGGGAAAAATTAAGTTTATTATTAATTGAAACTAAATTCGAGAGTGTTAAGGATCAAAATATACATGAAGAAAGTTTCTGCTACGGCATTAGGATGTTGAAGAAAGAATTTTCAGAATTAAAATTATTCCCCACACGGAAAAGTCAA